ATGTGTGTCTACCACTGCTTCCCTCTCTGCTTCTGTTTCTTCCCTATCTGTGTTTCCAGTGTGCTTTCACTACTGCTTGTGGTAGCAACTCTACCGGCGCTTCCACTGGTTTCTGAGAGAAGAAAAATGATGTTTTAAAAATGTGTAGTTATTTTTTGTAGTCTTTGACTTTTTTCTTGAAATCCTTCTATATGCTTAAGCTAGCCTTGAACCTGTGACCTTCCTTTTTCAGCCTCCCTAATTCTGGATTTACAGTTTTACCACCACCATACCTGGCAAGAATATGGTTTAAAAGATGCTAAGAACTGGGTAAAAAGGATTCTGTCATGGGTTTTCCTTAAGTTTGTTCTTGTCATGATTTCCTACAATGTTTTCTCAAGTGCTCTAACCTTGTTCTCAGGATCTCACTTTGGAGTCAACAATGCTTATACTGGACTCCACAGTGCCCCACAGAGGGCTTTGTATTACTTTCTGGGTGTGTAGAACTGATGGTCTCAGTGCTTGATGGTCCAGCTGTGGTATGTATGCTTGGTGGTCAGGTTTGGTCTTCCTACCTGGTGGTCCAGCCGTGCTCTGCGTGCCTGGTGGTCCAGCTGTGGTCACCCCAGCTGTGGTCTCTTTGCTTGGTGTTCCAGCTGTGGTCTCTGTGCTTGCTGGTCTAGCTGTGGTCTCTCTGCCTGGTGGTCCAGTTGTGGTCTCCCTGTTTGCTGGTCCAGCTGTGCTCTGTGTGCCTCGAGGTCCAGCTGTGGTGTCTGAGCCTGGAGGTCCAGCTGTGATCTCCCTGCCTGATGCTGAAGTCGGTCCCATAGACTGGCCTGTTGTTCCTGATAAACACAGAAGCAATGATTGCTATGCCCACTCATGCTCCTGAAGCTGGAGACTGGGCCATTAGCTTGTAACGTAGATACTTTTGAACAGTGCTTCATTTTCCACAGCTGACCCACTCTGATAGTTTCACTTATGTGTAGGTGCTAAACTGCCTGCCTTGATTTACCTGAGTTTCCTTGGGTCACAGTTCCAGGGCTTGATTCTCTGAGGGTGCTGGCTTCTTTGCCAATAGGTGTGGGTGAGGTAGGCACTTCTGTTCTTGCTGATTTGAAAAAGCAAACAGTGATCTGTAAACATGTGTCCCCTATTGTCAGCACGCTGAACCTCACAGAAACCCTCTGATGCTGGCAACACATATTTCCCCATGTCATAACAGATTCCTCCCATTTTTCTCTCCAGGTCACTCCATTGGTTGACAGCAAACCCCCAAACCCAATGCTGGCCCATGAATCAAACTCTGACTGGGGCTTCTCAACAATGTGTGACAAAAATATTGATTGACTTTCTAATATGTCTTCCATGAATACTTTATATCCAGGTCCATCATTTAATATAAATATGAAATGTAATCTAACAAAAGCTAGAATTTTATAGACATCAGAATGATGGTCTCAAACTTTTCCATGTATTTGCCTAACATTCTGATATAACATTATTTCCTTAAAATTTGATCTCCTTGTGGCTCTTGGGCAGGGGTGAGATGGTTTTCTTACAAAGCATTCTTCCCACTTGAGATTGGTTCCCAGTTGAACTTCACATAGTGTTGCCAGCTATTGGCTTAAACATGGGCAGGTCCTGATGAACAACGTTGTCTGTTGACAAAAAGCAGTGCCTGGAACAAACCCTGCTCTCCTCACCTGATGTGGCCTCAGCTGTTGAGGGTTCACTGCTTGGGGCTCTAGTAGTTTCACCAGCTGCTGGTCCTGTGGTGCCTGCCACAGGAAACAGGAAGCATTTAACAGCTGTCCTACAGAACAACAGGTCACATTGCCTGTTTCTAAATAGCTGTCACATATTCAGGTACACTTTGCCATTTCCAACTCCTTCTCCCTAGAAAGGAATCCTAAAATTGTATATGATTCTAAAGATGTCAGCAGGTACATGTTAACTTGTCTAGGGCAAATAAACTTCATCTTTACTTGCTTTTATAAGAAGACACTAGGATCCTTTGAATCATGAATAATATGTTTCCAGAATCAACTACAGACCTTCAGGAAATACTTATTATACCAAAGGCCCTTCTACCCCAAATATAGTTTCAGTGAATCTCAGAAGGACCCTACAATTTGATGTTAATTTGCAGTCATTGTTTGAATCCTGAACACCCTTTTTGAATCCTGGAATCATCATGTCTGATGAGCACACTCAGGGAACCAATGCTGGAACAAGGCTGTAGAAACATCATCTGATCCTGACCCTCTGTTCTCCCTGTAACACTGTTGCTACAGAACCTGGTCCCTTCTTAACTATAGTCTCTTCCTATTTCTTTCCATTGGCACCATGCTCCATAAACTGAGAATGAACGAGTTCACCATCCATGCATTTAAAAACCTGCACATGCAATGGCTCTCCCTTTTCCTTACCTGATCTGTGGCTAGCAGAAGTGGCAGCTGGTCTGGCTGAGGATCCTCGGCCTGAAGTGGTGGAGGCTGCAGACAGCACCGTGCTCCCTAAAACCAACCACAGAATGAGAGGTGACAATAATGAACATGCTTCTCCTACCAAAGTGAGAAAAAGACAGTGAGTGACAATTCCACTCCAATTCTCCTCAGCATTATAAACCTTGTGGGAGTCTGACTGCACAGACCAGCTCCTGCTATGAGAAGACTTCAGGGAGAGAGGATTGTACTCCATCCACACTGAGAGAGCAGGAAGGCGCCATGGATCTGTTCCTTGCATATCCAGTGCACTACCACCTGCCTGAGTTGATCAGGTGACACACAAAGTGTCTGTTGTATATCATGGAAAGAGAGGGGTGTCTGATGTACACCATGGAAAGAGACAGTTTCAGAGTCTGCCTGGTTCTCCTGTTCCCTGAGAAACAGAAGAGGAGCATGCTTTTCATTGCAAGGTACAAAGAGAGTTTGGCTTCCTTATGCTTAAGACCTGAATTAGGCTTGCTTTTTTCCTGTGACTTTGGAAATGTATTTACTACCTAGTTTTCACTGGAGTTTCTAGTAGGTACATCCAATGGGTCATGCAACACTGAGTTTGTGCTCATTGCCATAAGGTATTGTACTTTAATGTAATCATCACATAGGTACCTTGATTTGTTAGCTCCCAATGGTTGGGTCTAGTCTTGTTTTGTCCTGATACAATTTATTATTTTTCCTGTGGAGTCCACTCATTTATTTTTGTCTTCTAAGTCTATGGTCATTGATTCCTCTGTCTCTATCCGGAACTAGAATAAGAACATATGTGCTCTAGAGGAGAAGGATTATTTTTTATTTAGAGATTGTGACATCCTTGGGAAGTATGCAGAGTGAATACATCACTAAAATGACAGCATGTGAAGGGGCCATTCCAAGGAAGTTCTGAGATCTTTAATCATGTAAATATTTTTATATCTCCCTTTTATAACAAGCTGATGGTAACTAAACTAATGGGATCCACTTTCTCTAAAGTTTAATTTCACTGTTGTGGTATAAACATGTCCAAATAAAACATGTAAATAAAAAAAGATAGCATGTGCTTCCCAAACTGCTCATGTATCCTAAAATATTTCTCTGAAAGTCATAGAGTTATTGTCTCTAATCTTCTAGTCATGGGTCATCACCAAAGTAGCCACGGTTGGGAAGGGCAGCCATGACGCACACCTATAAGTTTACTTCACAGGAGGCTGAATTCTGAGGATTAGTCTTCCTAGACAGACTAGGTAGTAAAGACTGTGAGACCCTTAGCTCCAATTAACTAACAAAAGGGCCCAAAGTGGAGCGATGGATCAAGTGCTAGCCTTGAGCACAAATGCTCAGGGGACAGTGCCTAGGCCTTGAGTGAAAGCCCCTGGACAGGCACTATAAAAATATCAGCACAATGGTTGGGTTCACCATGGATCCTGTCTCTGACTGCATGTAGAGTACAAGTGCATGTGTGTCTACCACTGCTTCCCTCTCTGCTTCTGTTTCTTCCCTATCTGTGTTTCCAGTGTGCTTTCACTACTGCTTGTGGTAGCAACTCTACCCGCGCTTCCACTGGTTTTTGTGGGAAGAAAACTGATGTTTAAAAATGTGTAGTTATTTGTTGTATTCTTGGACTTTTTGAAACCCTTCTATATGCTTAAGCTGGCCTTAAACCTGTGACCTTGCTTCTTCAGCCTCCCTAATTCTGCAATTACAGTTTTACCACCACCATACCTGGCAAGAATGTGGTTTAAAAGATACTAAGAACTGGGTAAAATGGATTTTGTCATAAGTTTTCCTCAAATGTTTTCTTGTCATGATTTCCTACTATGTTTTCTCAAGTGCCCTAACCTGCTCTCAGGATCTCACTTTGGAGTAAACAATGCTTATACTGGACTCCACAGTGCCCCACAGAGGGCTTTGTATTGCTTTCTGGGTGTGTAGAACTGATGGTCTCAGTGCTTGATGGTCCAGCTGTGGTATGTATGCTTGGTGGTCAGGTTTGGTCTCCCTACCTGGTGGTCCAGCCGTGCTCTGCGTGCCTGGTGGTCCAGCTGTGGTTACCCCAGCTGTGGTCTCTCTGCCTGGTGGTCCAGCTGTGGTCTCTGTGCTTGCTGGTCCAGCTGTGGTCTCTGTGCTTGCTGGTCTAGCTGTGGTCTCCCTGCCTGGTGGTCCACCTGTGCTCTGTGTGCCTTGTGGTCCAGCTGTGGTCTCCGAGCCTGGAGGTCCAGCTGTGATCTCCCTGCCTGATGCTGAAGTCGGTCCCACAGACTGGCCTGTTGTTCCTGATAAACACAGAAGCAATGATTGCTATGCCCACTCATGCTCCTGAAGCTGGAGACTGGGCCATTAGCTTGTAACGTAGATACTTCTGAACAGTGCTTCATTTTCCACAGCTGACCCACTCTGATATTTTCACTTATGTGTAGGTGCTAAACTGCCTGCCTTGATTTACCTGAGTTTCCTTGGGTCACAGTTCCAGGGCTTGATTCTCTGAGGGTGCTGGCTTCTTTGCCAATAGGTGTGGATGAGGTAGGCACTTCTGTTCTTGCTGATTTGAAAAAGCCAACAGTGACATGTGATCATGTGCCCCCCTATTGTCAGCATGCAGAACCTCACATAAACCCTCTGATGCTGGCAACACCTATTTTCCCTTGTCATATCAGATTCCTCCCATACATCTCTCCAGGTCACTCCATTGGTTGACAGCAAACCCCCACACCCAATGCTGGCCCAGGAATCAAACTCTGACGGGGCTTCTCAACAATGTGTGACAAAAATATTGATTGACTTTCTAATATGTCCTCAATGAATACTTTATATCCAGGGCCATCATTTAACATAAATATAAAATCTAATATAACAAAAGCTAGTATTTTACAAACATAAGAGGGATGGTCTCAGACTGTTTCCATGCATATGCCTAACAATCTGATCTAACATGATTTCCTTATTTGATCTCCTTGTGGCTCTTGGGCAGGGCTGAGATGGTTTTCTTACAAAGCATTCTTCCCACATGAGATTGGTTCCCAGTACAACTTCACACAGTGTTCCCAGCTATTGGCTTAAACATGGGCAGGTCCTGGTGAACATCATTGTCTTTTGACAAAAAGCAGTGCCTGGAACAAACCCTGCTCTCCTCACCTGATGTGGCCTCAGCTGTTGAGGGTTCATTACTTGGGGTTGTAGTAGTTTCACCAGCTGCAGGTCCTGTGGTGCCTGCCACAGGAAACAGTAAGCATTTAACAGCTGTCCTACAAAACAACAGGTCACATTGCCTGCTTCTAAATATCTGTCACATATTCAGGTACACTTTGTCATTTCTGACTCCTTCTCTAGAGAGAAGGAGGGATCCTAAAATTGTATATGATTCTAATGATGTCTGTGGGTACATGTTAACTGGTCTAAGGCAAATAAACTTCACCTTTACTTGCTTTAATAAGAAGATGCTGGATGCTGTGAATCAGAAACAATCTTGCTTCCAGAAGCAACTACAGACCTTCAGGAAATACTTATTATACGAAGGGCCCTTCTATCCCAAATGTAGATTCAGCGAATCTCAGAAGGACCCTACAAATTTGATGTTAATTTGCAGTCATTGTATGAATCCTGAACACCCTTCCTGAATCCTGGAATCATCATGTCTCATGAGCACAAGGAGGGATGGGAATTCTGGAACAAGGCTGTGGAAACATCATGTGATCCTGGCCCCCTGTTCTCCCTGTAACACTGTTGCTACAGAACCTGGTCCCTTCTTAACTCCAGTCTCTTCCTATTTCTTTCCATTGGCACCATGCTACATAAACTGAGAATGAAAGAGTTCACCATCCATGCACTTAAAAACCTGCACATGCAATGGCTCTCCCTTTTCCTTACCTGATCTGTGGCTAGCAGAAGTGGTAGCTGGTCTGGCTGAGGATCCTGGGCCTGCAGTGGTGGAGGCTGCAGACAGCACCGTGCTCCCTAAAACCAACCACAGAATGAGAGGTGACAACAATGAACATGCTTCTCCTACAAAAGTGAGAAAAAGACAGTGAGTGACAATTCCATTCCTGTTCTCCTCAGCATTATAAACCTAGCAGAAGCCTTGTTCCACAGACAAGCTCCTGATATGAGAAGACATTGGGGAGAGAGGCTTGTACTCCATCCACACGGGGAGAGAAGGAAGGACCTATGGTTCCAGTGCCTCCATATCCAGAGCACTACCACCTAATGAGTTGATTATGTGGTATACAAAGGTGTCTGTTGTACTCCATAGAGAGAGAGGGGTGTCTGATGTACACCATGGAAAGAGACAGTTTCAGAGTCTGCCTGGATCTCCTGTTCCCTGAGATATACAAGAGGAGTATGCTATTCAGTGCAACTACAAAGTGAGTTTGGCTTCCTTATGGTTAAGACCTGAATTAGGCTTGCTTTTTCCTTTGATTATAGAAATATATTTACCACATAGTTTTCACTGAAGTTTCAAGTAGATACATCCAGTCTTGCAACACTGAATTTGTGCTCATTGCCCTAAGGTATTTTAATTAAATGTAATTATCATGTTGGTACCATGATTTGTTAGCTCCCAATGGTTGGGTCTAGTCTTTTTTTGTTCTGATACATTTTATTCTTTTTCCCAGTGGAGTCCTCTCACTTATTTTTTGTCTTCTAAGTCTATATGATTATTGATTCCTCTGTCTCTATCAGGAACTAGAATGAGAACACAGCTGCTCTAGAGGACAAGGGTTATGTCTTATTTAGGGATGGTGACATTCTTGGGAAGTATGTAGAGTGAATACATCACTAAAATGACAGCATGTGAAGCGGCCCATTCCATGGAAATCCCAAGATCTTTAATCATGTAGATACTTTTCATACCTCCCTTTTATAATAAGCTGATGGTAACTAAACTAATGACATCCATTTTCTCTAAAGTTTAATTTCATTGTTGTGGTATAAACATTTCCAAATAAAACATGTAAATGAAAAAAAAAAGACGGCCTGTATTTCCCAAACTTTTCTTGTATCCTAAAATATTTCTGAGAGTCACAGTGTTATTTTCTCTAATCTTCTAGTCATGGGCCATCACCAAACTAGCAATGGTTGGGAAGGGCAGCCATGGCGCACACCTATAAGGTTTACTTCTCAGGAGGCTGAATTCTGAGGATTAGTCTTCCTAGACAGACTAGGTATTAAAGACTGTGAGAACCTTAGCTCCAATTAACTACCAAAAGGGCCCAAAGTGGAACGATGGATCAAGTGCTAGTCATGAGCACAAAAGCTCAGGGGACAGTGCCTAGGCCTTGAGTGAAAGCCCCAGGACAAGCACCATAAAAATATCAGCACAATGGTTGGGTTCACCAGGGATCCTGTCTCTGACTGCATGTAGAGCACAAGTGCATGTGTGTCTACCACTGCTTCCCTCTCTGCTTCTGTTTCTTCCCTATCTGTGTTTCCAGTGTGCTTTCACTACTGCTTGTGGTAGCAACTCTACCCACGCTTCCACTGGTTTCTGGGGGAAGAAAAATGATGTTTTAAAAATGCGTAGTTAGATCCCTAGCCATAAAAGAAATGCAAATCAAAACAACATTGAGATATCACCTCACCCCAGAAAGAACGGCAAAAATCAAGAACTCTAATAACAACAGATGCTGGAGGGGATGTGGACAGAAGGGAACCTTACTTCATTGTTGGTGGGAATGTAAACTTGTCCAACCACTTTGGAAAGCAGTATGGAGGTTCCTCAAAAGACTTCACATAGAACTCCCCTATGACCCAGCAATCCCACTTTTGGGCATTTACCCAAATGCTTACAAACAAGACCACACTAAAGCTACCAGCACAACTATGTTTATTGCAGCATTATTTACCATAGCTAAGATATGGAACCAACCCAGATGCCCCTCAGTAGATGAATGGATCAAGAAAATGTGGTATGTATACACAATGGAATTCTATGCCTCCATCAGAAAGAATGACATTGCCCCATTTGTTAGGAAATGGAAAAAATTATATTAAGTGAAGTAAGCCAGGCCCAAAGAAACATAGGTCCCATGGTTTCCCTTATTTGCAATATCTAGTATATGTACGAGTCAAGCGGAAAAGGTCAGATAATGTGATGTCAGGAAAATGAACCGTTAGCTATGTATTTTAATGTTTTTTCTTTCATACATGTGTTTCTAACGCATTTATAAGATTATCTCTTTGTTGCTTTGTATGTCCCTCCCCCACAGTATAACCCCTGCTTTCACTATATTTGATGTCAGTATAACTTGTGGAGGAGATGGGGAAAAACCAGTTGTTTAAGGATACAGGTGGATCTGATGCAACAATGAGAAGTACAAGTTGTCATGTCCAAAACGAGCTTTACAACGTCGGTGCGGGGGGGGGGGAGGGGGGGGAGGGGCGAAGGAGAAGGATTGGGATGGGGGGGATGGGGGAGGCTGGGAAGGGATGGGAAGGGTAAACAAAGGAGGAGGCTGCAATGCTTGGTAAGAAATGTACGCATTATCCTGCCCATGCAATTGTAACCCCTCTGTACAGTTTGTTCACAAATAAAATAAAATAAAATTTAAAAAAAAATGCGTAGTTATTTTTTGTAGTCTTTGACTTTTTTTTTGAAATCCTTCTATATGCTTAAGCTAGCCTTGAACCTGTGACCTTCCTTTTTCAGCCTCCCTAATTCTGGAATTACAGTTTATCCACCACCATACCTGGCAAGAATGTGGTTTAAAACATACTGAGAGCTGGTAAAATGGATTCTGTCATGGGTTTTCCTTAGATGTGTTCTTGTCATGATTTCCTACAATGTTTTCTCAAGTGCTCTAACCTTGCTCTCAGGATTTCACTTTGGAGTCAACAATGCTTTTACTGGACTCCACAGTGCCCCACAGAGGGCTTTGTATTACTTTCTGGGTGTGTAGAACGGATGGTCTCAGTGCTTGATGGTCCAGCTGTGGTCTGCATGCTTGGTGGTCAGGTTTGGTCTCCCTACCTGGTGGTCCAGCCGTGCTCTGCGTGCCTGGTGGTCCAGCTGTGGTCACCCCAGCTGTGGTCTCCCTGTCTCGTGTTCCAGCTGTGGTCTCTGTGCTTGCTGGTCTAGCTGTGGTCTCAGTGCCTGGTGGTCCACCTGTGGTCTCCCTGCCTGATGGTCCACCTGTGCTCTGTGTGCCTCGTGGTCCAGCTGTGGTCTCTGAGCCTGGAGGTCCAGCTGTGATCTCCCTGCCTGATGCTGAAGTCCGTCCCACAGACTGGCCTGTTGTTCCTGATAAACACAGAAGCAATGATTGCTATGCCCACTCATGCTCCTGAAGCTGGAGACTAGGACATTAGCTTGCGCCTTAGATACTTCTGAACAGTGCTTCATTTTCCACAGCTGACCCACTCTGATATTTTCATTTGTGTGTAGGTGCTAAACTGCCTGCCTTGATTTACCTGAGTTTCCTTGGGTCACAGTTCCAGGGCTTGATTCTCTGAGGGTGCTGGATTCTTTGCCAATAGGTGTGGATGAGGTAGGCACTTCTGTTCTTGCTGATTTGAAAAAGCCAACAGTGACATGTGATCATGTGCCCCCCTATTGTCAGCATGCTGAACCTCACATAAACCCTCTGATGCTGGCATCACCTATTTCCCCTTTCATATCAGATTCCTCCCATACATCTCTCCAGGCCACTCCATTGGTTGACAGCAAACCCCCAAACCCAATGCTGGCCCAGGAATCAAACTCTGACGGGGCTTCTCAACAATGTGTGACAAAAGTATTGATTGACTTTCTAATATGTCCTCAATGAATACTTTATATCCAGGTCCATCATTTAACATAAATATAAAATCTAATATAACAAAAGCTAGTATTTTACAAACATAGGAGGGATGGTCTCAGACTGTTTCCATGCATATGCCTAACAATCTGATCTAACATTATTTCCTTATTTTATCTCCTTGTGGCTCTTGGGCAGGGCTGAGATGGTTTTCTTACAAAGCATTCTTCCCACATGAGATTGATTCCCAGTACAACTTCACACAGTGTTCCCAGCTACTTGGCTTAAACATGGGCAGGTCCTGATGAAAAATGTTGTCTGTTGACAAAAAGCAGTGCCTGGAACAAACCCTGTTCTCCTCACCTGATATGGCCTCAGCTGTTGAGGGTTCACTGCTTGGGGCTCCAGTAGATTCACCAGCTGCTGGTCCTGTGGTGCCTGCCACAGGAAACAGTAAGCATTTAACAGCTGTCCTACAGAACAACAGGTCACATTGCCTGTTTCTAAATAGCTGTCATATATTCAGGTACACTTTGCCATTTCTGACTCTCTTTCTAAAAAGGGATCTTAAATACATATATTCTGAAGATGCCAGTGGGTATACATTATCTTGCCTAAGGCAAATAAACTTCATCTCTACTTGCTTTAATATTAAAATATTGGAATCCTGTAGTTCAGAACCCTTCATGCCTCCAGAAGCAACTACAAAGCTTCATAAATTACTTATTATACCTGGGGCCCTTCTATCTGAGGCCCAGATTTAATGAATCTATAAAGAACTCCTCAATGTGTATTTCAAGCTTGTTTTATTTGATGTTAATTTCCAGCACTGTTTGAATCCAGGATGTCTATCCTGACTCCTGGAATCATTGTGTCTCATGAGCACACTGAAGGATGCAAATGTTGGAACAAGACTGTAGAACTGTCATCTGATCCTGATTCCCTGCACTGCCCATAATACTGTTGGGTAAGAACCTAGTCCCTTAACTCCAGTCTTTCCTTATTCCTTTCCTTTGGCACTATGCTCCAAAATCTGAGAACAAAGGAGTTCACCACACAAACCCATAAACCCCTGCACATACATTGGCTCTCCCTTTTTTATCTTTTTAATTTTTTTTCATTTGTGGGGCTTGAACTCTGGGCCTGGGCGCTGTCCCTTAGCTCTGCAGGTCAAGGCAAGCACTCTACCTCTTGAGCCATAGTGCCACTTCCAGTTTTCTGGTGGTTAATTGGAGCTAAGAGTCTCATGGACTTTCCTGCCCAGGCTGGCTTTGAACTGTGATCCTGGGATCTTAGACTCCTTAGTAGCTAGGATTACAGGTGTGAGCCACTGACAGTGGGCTGGCTCTCTCCTTTCCTTACCTGATTTGTATCTGGCCGAGGTGGTAGCTGGTCTGGCTGAGGATCCTGGGCCTGCAGTGGTGGAGGCTGCAGACAGCACCGTGGTCCCTGAAACCAACAACAGTAGGGGGGTGTGTTCAGGATGTACATTACTCCTACTATTACTCTGAGTAATAGTGCTTGTGAAAAAGGCAGTGAAAGGTTCTGTCCCCCATCTCTCCTCAATCCTGAGTTCTATCCCCCATCTTCTTCTGATCTCACAGATTAGAACCTACTGCAAAGAGATGATCAGAGCCGGTTGTGTGGCCCTAACCAGAATCTATGGCTCCTGAGCTTGAATCTCCAGGGCTCCTGCCAACTGCAGGGGTATTTGCAAATGGTACCCACATGGTGTCTGCTATATATCATGGGGGAGATATTTAACAGGAAAGTTCCACCAGCTCTCCTGTTTACCAAGGAACATGGAAGCTCATGTACTATAAGCTTGTTCTTCTGAAGGGAGAGAACGAGAAATTCAGTTGAAGCACGTAAAGCTCAGTATCTTTAGGAATAAGACAAATTAGGCCTGATTTTCCTTTTGACAAAGTGAATGTAACTATCCCATCATTTTCTCTTGACTCTCAAGTTCTTGTGATAGGTAAAGTCATTTGATTCAAATAACACAGATCCTGTGCTCACGATCAGAGTGCTCACCGTCAATGTACACTAAAGCACGTTTATTAATAACATTGTAATAGGTGAGGAAGGTGAATGGGGTGACACTGATCAAGAGGCATCATATTCATAAACTGCTTTGTTAAATTGCGACTCCTTGTACAACGATGTGAAAGACGATATTTAAAATATTAAAAGTTGATCAGTAAATAATAAAATGTAGCTATCACATAGGTTCATTGGTGTTTACCCCTGAATACTTTTGTTTATGCTTAAATTTTCCCTGGTTCCAGGTCATACCTTTCCCCTGTTAAAATTTCATCTTGTCAGTCGATATGAATATTCATTCCTCCTCTTCTAACATGAACCAGAGTGAGAGAATATGTGCTCTCCCCCCTGCATTCTACAGTAATTCTAAGATAGAATGATGTCTACAACCATAAAGTACCTGTCTTGCTAAAGTCCCTGTCCTGACTCCCCTGAGTTTCCTTGGCTTGTAGTTCCTGTGCTGTGTTCCCTGGGTGTGCTGCCCTTCTCATTACTAGGAGTAGGTGTGGCAGGACCCTCTGATTCTGTTAAAATAGCATGCAATAATGCTTTAGTCATTCATTGATTCATTTAACCCAGGAAAAGGTTTTCTCTGGTGGGTAGAATGTACTTCCCGTTGATCAGATGACTTTAAGTGACTTGATCCAGGTCACCAGTTTTGTTGATGGCAGATCCAGATGCTAAACACTAGCTTTAGAATCATTATTTTGACCTCTGCTTTCAAAGATCTACAACAAAAGACTCATTTGTGCAATTTTCTAAATGGTGCTAAGTTAGAGGCTCTGAAGAATACCATAAAATTAAACCCAGCCATGGAATCTATAATTTCTTCCATAGAAATGAGATCATTGTTTTTATATTGCTACATTTTAAAATCTTTTGTTTTCTGTTCTAGTTCTGGTATACTGGCCTAGTAGCAAACACTCTGGAATGGCACCCACTTGTGGCCCAAACTTAGAACTGCACCATTCATATAAACTACATGGTGCCTGAAAGCCATTATTACCTGAGTAATTCTGATTCAAAATTAGGGAATACAAGCTCAAAGGTCATCCCTCTAAAATTTCAATCAGTTTAGAAATCAAATTAGAATAATTAGTCGCAATTGGTAGTGCTTTATGTAGATTTTTTCTCATCCCATTATACTATTATGTAAATGATATATATTCCTAAAAGAATATTGACATACATTTACGTCAAAAAATTAATAGGGGAAAACATAGAAAAAATTAGAGTTTAAATGGAAGAGAAGTGTGACAGAAGTGTTGCCCTGCTTTGATCAGAATAACCTGCATAGAAAGGCTCCTTTCTAACAGGTCCTGAGTCTAGGCAGGTGGGCTCAGAAATAGGCCATCTAGAAAGTTCTTAAGGGATGCTGATGCTGTAGTCCAGAAACCAAACATGGAGTACCACGGGGTCCCTTGAAGAGGACTATAGACAGGAGTATAAAATAGTTGACACTGGTACCAGTCAAGGGAAACAAAATGGAAAAGACATAACCCTACTAAGGTCTTTAAAATGACTGATGACGTAAGTCCAAGGCTAGACTCAATCTTGTTTTTCTTTTTGTTCTGTTTATGATGAGACTAGAGCTTGAACTCAGGGCCTGGGCACTGTCCCTTAATTTTTTCCCATGCCAAGCGAGAGAGTAAAACCTTATTTCAAGCCCCAGTACTAACACAAGCTACATATACACACATACATGTGTGTATATGTATATATGTGTGCATCACAAAATTCATTTGCACTTCATTGTTTCTAACTCACTGTCTAAAAAATTGATGTTAAAATCGTGATTCTGAGACTGAGTTTATCAATTTGCTTATTGAATGCAAATAAACTTCTTTATACTTGCTTGTTTTAAAACTAGGATTAGGGCTGGGAATGTGGCTTAGTGGTAGAGTGCTTGAATGAAGCCCTGAGTTCAATTCCTCAGAACCACATAAACAGAAAAGCCAGAAGTGGCTCTGTGGCTCAAGTGATAGAGTGCTAGCCTTGAGCAAAAGAAGCTCAGGGACCGTGCCCAGGCCCTGAGTTCAAGTCCCAGGACTGAAAAAAAATCATCATGGGTTATTAATCTTAGAGTTTTTTTTTTTTGGCTAGTTCCAGGGCTTGAACTCAGGGCCTGGGCACTGTCCTTGAGCTTTTTCACTTTTTTTCTGGTGGTTAATTGGAGATAAGGGTCTCCTGGGCTTTCTTGGCCAGGCTGGCTTTGAACCATGATCCTCAGATCTCAGCCTCCTAAGTAGGTAGGATTACATTCATGAGCCACTGGCGCATAGCTCATGATGATTTTTAAAACCAACTGTGAGGTTTGTAAGAAGTATTTACTATGTCTGGGTCCTTCTGCCAGAGGTCCACATTCAATGATTCTGTGAAGAACTCCTCCACTGTATGTCAAAAATATTCTGTTTGATTTCAATTTCCAGCCAATTGCAAGCAAGGACTCCACTCCAAACTTACAGCCTCAGTAGATTCAGCTTTGGAGTCTCAGAATCATGGTGTTCATAGCACATCAAGAGATAGCAAGGATAGTACAGGACTACAGAAATACCATCTAATGTAGACTACATAGTAATGAATAGGGTTTCTTGCTCCAATCTCTTCCTATTCCTTTCTTTCTTCACCATGTTCTGGGCACCAAGAATGGAGATAGGCAATATAGACACTTAGAGCCTGAAAATTCCTAGACTTTTTTTTTCTTACCTGAGCTGCTGCTACCAGAGGTTGTGGCTGGTCTGTCAGAGGTTCTGGGGTGGGCAGCGGTGGAACCTGCAGACACTGCTGTGGTCCCTGGAACCAAGAACAGACTGAGGGATGGAGGCAGGGTACATGCTATTCCGAACAATATTACAAGTTCTTGGAAGTATTAGAAAAAGATGGTGATTGACACAATCCTTTAACTCTCTTGAAGCCTGTCATTTTTTAAATGTTGGTCCTGGGGCTTGAACTCAGAACCTAGGTGTTATCCCGGAGCTTTTATTTTATCTTATTTTGCTCAGGGCTTAGTGCTCTACCTCTTGAGCCACAGCTCCACTTCAGGCTTTTTGCTGGCTCACTGAAGATAAAGGGTCTCACGGATTTGTCCGGCCAGGGCCAGCTTCAAACCACAATGCTTAGATCTCAGCCTCCTGAATAGCTATGAGTCACTGTCACCTGGCTTGATTTTTTTAGAATGATTATTGCTCGAATGTTTCCATCAGATTAATCTAAGAAGAATTAACAAGTTTCCTGCTTTATGCTGTTTTATGTAGAATTTATCTTTTAGCTCTCCAATTTTAATGTGAACCATAACTTATTTCAAAAGAATTTGCCATAAATTTATGTGGATAAATTACTAGTCGAATGTACATGGTAAGATAAATAAAATCAGGCTATGACTTGCTAGTAAATAAATAAAGAGAAATCTTACATACATATGAGCAAATGGCATTTAAGGAGCTATTAAAGCCAGGTACAGGTGGTTTACTATAATCCTTGCTACTCAGGAGGCTGACATTTGAGGATCATGGCTCAAAATCAGCCTGGGCAGCAAAGTCCTTGAAACTCTTATCTCCCATTAACCACCAAAAAAACAGAAGTGAGGGAGTGGCTTAAGTGGTAGAGCACAAGCCTTGAATGGTTAAGTTAAGAGACAGTACCCAGGCCCTGAGTTCAAGCCATGGTACTAACACAAAAATAAGAAAACCACTAATGTATTATTACTACATAAGTGAAGGTTGATCACTGAATGTTTCCCTGTCTTCTAGGTGACTTAGCTCACACACTAGGCCCTCAGATGCTAAGATTTGAGGTAAGGCAAGTTGTTGCCAAATAGAAAGGCCTCTGCCTCCTTGTCTGGAAACGCTGCAAAATGAAAATGAAGTATTTGGCTCATTTCTTGTCACCTGTTGTGGCTCTGTCGCTTGTACTTTGATTTTCAGCACCTGGGGTCCCACTCGGTGACATTGCACTTGTCCCTTAAAAAGAGACAACAAATAACTAGTACAGACTTAAAAAAGAAACATGTACAGGTGCTACCAACTATCAAGGTGATGAGAACACACAATTAGATGAAAAAATACAAACAAGCCATCAACTTGTGGAAAGACGCATTACACCTTAATTATGCATGCAGAATAATCAGCTAAGTCTGATACTGTGTTTGGAACAATCTGTAGAAGCAACTGAGGTCAGCTGCTTGACTGGACCAGTGCACTTGATTCCGCACTTAGTTTACCTGTTTTGAGGCTCAGGACTGCTGTGGTTCTTGTGGTCCCAGCGGTGGAAGAGAGGGGAACGGAAGTGCCAGCATAGCCTGAGAAAACACCAAAGGAATTTCTCATCAGGTCCAGCCACAACCTGTGGCTCACCATTTAATCTTTGCTACTCAGGAGGCTGAGATGTGAGGATCACAGCTCCGAGCCATCCCAGGCAGGAAAGTCTATGAGATTCTTATCTCCAATTAAGTAGCAAAAGCCAGAAAGGGAGTTGTGGTTTATGTGGCAGAGCCCCACCCTTGAGCAAAACAGTTAAGGGACAGGACTCAAGCCCCGAGTTCAAGCCCTCCTAGTATTGGCATAAATTCTTTTTTTTTCCTCATCTATAGTCTATAGTCTATGTGAACTTTATTACCACTGTTGATCTAGCCATTCCTAATATGGAACACAATCAAGGAATTCTGTGACTTTCTGCTCAGAGCTCACTAAACACTGAGTACTATTTTGTCAAAATGTTTGGTTTAATGCTATTTTTAAAAAATAACTTTATGCAACTTGACCATGTTGATTCTTCATACACTTGGCTAAATAACTTTGCTTTAAAATAAGCAGAACTTTCTGGGTGCTGGTGGCTCATGCCTATACTCCCAGCTAGTGAGGAGACTGAAATTTAAGGATTGTGGCTCAAAGCCAAATTGGGCACAAAAGTTAGGAGACTCTTATCTCCAATTAACTACTAAAAATCCAGAAGTGGTGCTCTGACACAGGTGGTAGAGCAGTAGACTTGAGTGAAAAAGCCAAGCAAGAGGGTAAGGCCCTCTTTTGTGTCAGTGCTTATACTTATTTAAAAAATAAGCAGAACTTCATTATCTCATCAATGTAACTCAGGGCTGACAGAAGCCATAATAAAAACAATCCCACTTTTGGGCATTTACCCAAATGATCACAAACAAGGTCATACTAAAGCTACCAGCACAACTATGTTTATTGCAGCATTATTTACCATAGCTAAGATATGGAACCAACCCAGATGGCCCTCAGTAGATGAATGGATCAAGAAAATGTGGTGTATATACACAATGGAATTCTATGCCTCCATCAGAAAGAATGACATTGCCCCATTTGTTAGGAAATGGAAAGACTTGAAAAACACTGTAATAATATAGCAACTGCTACTTTTATACTTAAAATATCTACAGGATTGAAATGTATAAGTCTTTATATCCAACTTTTCTCTCAACCCATATTCTTATTCTGTAACTTATTTAATCCTGTTTCAGATCCCATTTAATAGCTATTGGTAAGGAAGAAAAAGAATTAGAAAGTACATAAAAACCAGACAATATAAATTGATCATGTTAAATTTGTTTTTTTAATGCTACTTAATAACAGTGGGAGAAACCTAGCAAATTACTTGTTTAAAATACTTTTTCAAAAGCCAGACACTGTTAGACATAGTTATGGCCCATGAAAAATAGGAATATACTAACCTGAAGTTGAGACAAGGCCTGAAGTTGTACCTGATAAGAAAAACAGAGTAATGTCAATTTGTCTGTCCTTCAAAACAATAGACTGATTACCTGTTAAATAGTTTTCAATATGCACTAATTTGTAATATACACAGTGGTTATGGTTAATACATGTTATTTCATTTTCAGTACAGCAAAATGATTATCTGCAGAATCACTTATTTTTATACAAAATATATTACAAATAGGATGATACCAAGTAGTATAAAATGTTATAATTATAGTAATAATTCTGTATCCTCTCAATTTAAAAAATCAACATAAATCTTATTTTTACACTGTTAAATATTCCTATGGAAGGAATATTAGCTCCAATGAATGAAGTAGATGAAGTGAAGAATTTATTCTATTATTTATATTATTATTATTGTGGTGGTGGTGGTGGTAGTTGTTATTTATGCCAGTATTAGGGCTTGAACTCAGGTCCTAACATTCTACCATTTAAGGCACACCTCCACTTCTGGCTCTTTGTTGGTTATGTGGGGATAAGACTCTTACTGACTTTTCTGCTGAGTTGGCTTTGAATCTTGATCTTCAGGTCTCAGGCTTCCCGACTAGCTAGATTATAGGCATGAGTCACTGGTGCTCAATTAAAAATTTATCATATAACTAACATATAACCAATGATAGAACCTTCACCAGAAATTCTGTGCCAAAAGGCAGATTCTGAATTAGGTTAAAGAAGTTATCCATTCATTATACAAATAGCATTTGCATAGTCTTATGTATGGCATGGTACAAAATGCACTTGGAAATTGAAGGATAACAAATTATGCACTTTGCGTTCAGGATCTTACTTATGTAAGATGAAAAACATGAATCAGTAACTACAAATAAATAAAATGAGAGATGGAGATAGAGCTAACTGTGCCCTAGTTTAGGAAAGTAGGTATTTCTGAGTGTATATTTGGGAGTATAAAGTGCATTTATAATTCTCTCTGTCTCTCTGGAGATCTCTTTTTTCTCTTTCTATATATAATGGATATATAATGGGTATGTATATAATATGACAGTTTTTCAATATAAAACAAAGCAGCTACTTCACAAACCCAACTAAGCTCCACAATGCTAATTTGCTGGCTAGCCATTTTTCTCAAGTTCTTTTTCAAATTTTTATTGACAATAAACACTCAGAGCCCACCCAAGACATTTTTAAAGTTTAAGTAGAGAGATAGTAAAACAAGCTCAAGTAGGAATACTGTATGCTCAGGGAAAATTCCCAGCCCCTCATGTTTAAAAAATGTAATCAGCCGGGTGCTGGTGGCTCAACCTGCAATTGTAGCTACTCAGGAGGCTGAGACCTCATAATCATAGTTTGAAGCCAGCCCAGGCAGGAAAGTCCGAGAGACTCTTATCCCAATTAACCACAAAAAGTCAGAAGTGGAGCTGTGGTTGAACACTGAACACAAAGCTCAGGGACAGCACCCAAGTCCAGGGTTCAAGCCCCAAGACTGGAAAAAAAAACTTTCTCTACCTATTATTTTGCTACTTAGAATTATATATTATAGTCCCTTGAATTTGAGAAAACAAAGGGAAAAATTAATTTTCTAAGAAGGGAAAATTATGCATCTAAGAATGTCCATGGTTATATATTAAAATGGGTCAAATGAAATTAGTATTTCAGAGAATCTTGACCATATATGTGAACTGGAGCCACAAACAAACAAAAATACCTCAAAACTTTGTACACATCTCCCATAAACTCTTCCTTCAACATATTCTTTTAGAAAAAGGAAGAAGTGTTTCTTATTAGAATGGCATAAAGGCCAGGTGCTAGGAGCTCAAGCCTATAATCCTAGCTGTCCTGGAGGCTGAGATCTGAGGATCACAGGTTCAAAGCCAGCTCAGGCAAGAAAGTCTGTGAGACAATCAACCAGCAGAATGCCAGAGGTGGAAGTACAGCTCAAGTGGTAGAATGCCAGCCTTGAGTAGAAAGGCTAATCCAGAACACAAGGCCCTGAGTTTGAACCTTATTACTGGGTTTGAAGGGAAAAAAAAGAATGATATAAGAAGAAAAAAAAACAGAATGATATTAGAATGCAAAAAGAATTTCTGGATGCTTCTAAACTTGGATGCTGATTAAGTCATGGTTGGACATTAATGCTTACCTGTAGTTGATCTACTGGAAATCAGTGTAGTTGCTATCAAAGAAAAACACAAATATTTGCAAATACAGATTAAAATGACACTGAAAGACAAGGTGAAAAATCATTTATCTAGACCTGGGAGGAGATCTAGGGAAGGTAAATAAGTGATTGAATGTTTGAGCTAGACTCTTTTATCACATCTTTACTCATTTCAACACACCTTCGTGCTCTCTGTGCCAGGGCTTTAATGATAGACCATTTCACTTAAGTGAGAATTCCTGAAGAGTTTTGAAGTAGAACTTGGGAAATGATTTCAGATATTGAACATTGAACCAGGTGTGGTGACGCACACTTGTAATCCCAGCACTTGGGAGGCCTCTGAGGGGAGAGGATCTCAAGTTCCATGTCAGACTGTTGCTATGAAGAAACAACTTGTCTCAAAAATAAGATAAAATAAAAACCTTAAAAATAAAAAAGAATTGAAATTTCTGGCCAATTTCCCCTAAGCAATAGTATGCAGAAAGCACATGATCTACTAATTCTGCAGAGTTCCTTCACAAGATTACAATTGCATGCAGACCCTGCCGTGGATCTGAGCATTTAGGAAATGAGTAGATGGATACTTATGACTTTGTACAAAAGAACCAAGATGGGTGGATTAAAAACTCATTCTGCTCTTGTAATTTAGAGAAAATAATATTTTTAATTACCTGCTTCAGTACTTAATATGGAAGTGGCTATTGTAGTAAAGACTGTGGAAGAAAGAATATATTTATTATACAAAAAGATTAGTTGAGTAGCTTTTGCTAGAAAATTAAGTTCAAGAAACTTGAAGGGCTGGGAATGTGGCTTAGTGGTAGAGTGCTTGCCTAGCATGCATGAAGCTCCAGGTTCAATTCCTCATTACCATATACACAGAAAAAACTGAAAGTGTTGCTGTGGCTCAAGTAGCAGAGTGCTAGCCTTGAGCAAAAGAAGCTCAGGGACAGTGCCCAGGCCCTGAGTTCAAGCCCCAGGACTGGCAACAAAATATAAAAACCAGTGGAGCCAAAGCTTCATGGCTCATGCCTAAATCCAAGCTATGTGGGAGACATAGATGGAAGATCTCAGTTTGAGAGCCAACCTAGGAAAAAGTTAACAAAAATGGACTTTAAGAAACAAGTATGCTGGTACACACCTATAATCCCAGGGGAAAGGGGTGGGGGAGGGAAGGGGATTGTGAAAATAGAAGAATCATAATCTGAGGTTGGCTGGCCCCAGATACAAAACAGAACAGTTTATAGAAAAATAAAACTAATGCTGGAGATGTAGGTCAAGTAATAAGGTTCCATCAAAACTGACTGAATCAATGAATCCAGTTTTTGTCATCTAAAATTAAATTTTCTGACATTATAGAGGATAAATGGCAGAATAATTTTTCACTTAAAAATTAAACTATACTACTATATACCCTTCAAAGTAAGTAGTTATTTCCTACTATTAGTACTTAAGTGAAATCTTACAAGAATTTTTAAAGTTTTCTTGGTTTTCATTTTGCTATTATCTGGTGCCAGTAAGGGGGCTTGAACCCAGGGCCTAAACTCCTTTGCTTAGCCTATTTGCTCTAAGTTGAGACTCTACCACTTGAGCCATACCTCCACTTCTGACTTTCTTGCTGGTTAGTTGGAGATAACGAGCCTCATGAACTTTTTTGCCTGTGTGAGCCTCAAATTTTGATCCTTAGATATCAGCTTCCTGAGTAGCTAATATTGTAGGCATGAGGCAATAGTGCTTGGCCTCACAAGAATTTTATGAAGTATATTTGTGGACCAAGAAATACAATTCAGAAATGTATCTTGATAACTTAGCTTCAATGAGTGACCAATAGTAGTTAACATTTAAATAGTATGTTAGAGTAGGTCATACTATTTAAATACATTATCAGACTCTACATTTCCATCCCATAATTGATGTCAAGGGAAATCAGTAAAGAATAAATCATTCCTTAAATCACACAAGACAGGAATATGTATATGTATACGTACATATGTATATACTTTAAGCAAATATAATGTCTCCAAAACAGTTAAATATGTTTTGCTTAGAATTCTCTTGAGGAGGGGTGGGGGTGGGGGTATGTGGCTGAGGAGGTGGGAGGGAAGGAATGGTAGAGGAAAAACAAAGGAGGAGGCAACAATACTAGATAAGAAATGGACTCATTATCTTGCTCATGTAACTGTAACCCCTTTGTACAGTATTTTCCCAATTAAAAAAATAAATTTAAAAAATAATAAAAAATAAAAAAGAATTCTCTTGAGGAAATACATCAAATATTGTTAGTGCTTAATAGAAATATATGCATTAAGACAAATTAACATTTTATATCTGCATTTTTAATTCCTTCAAATACGATGATTATGATTTTTAAATATTTAATTAGAAGACCTGAGCAAAAGAAGCTCAGGGATGGTACCCAAGCCCTGAGTTCAAGCCCCAGGACTGGAATAAAATAAATATGTACTTCACACACTTGCTTCTATATTACTTACTATTTACAATCTAAAAATGTCAAGCGTTGTAGCATTGTAGGGTTATATTTAATTAGCATATCATACATATTATGTGTTCTAATTTTTCTATTTCAATTCATGAGACTAAAATAATATTACGATATTTCTCTAGCAGCTAACTTTAGCTTAAAATAATTACATCAACAGATTTGTCAGCATATTTCACTAGCACAAATGTATGTGAAAGGATTATGAACCCACAAAATCAGAAAAACACATGTAAGACAATTATTTTTACCTGTAATTGTTGAATTTGTAGAAGGAATTTCTAGAATAATCAAAAATTACAATTATTGGCAGAAATGAAACATCTTGCAAAACTAATACTACATCTCAAGGTGTCTTAAAACATCTATTTTCTTTGTCATTTTTATAATTCTTAATGCAAAAAATAGAGTTTATGTGTTCTTTTGAAGCTGATTGAGACTTATTTGTATGTGTGTGCACCAGTTCTGACTGTCCCTTAGCTTCTTTACTCATGGCTGACTCTCTACCAATTGAGTCTTAGCTCCATTCTCAGCTTTTTGCTGAGTAATTAGAGATAAAAGCCTCACAAAGGTTCCTGTCCAGGCATGCTTCAAATGGAGATCTGTAGATCTTTGCCTCCTGAGTAACTACAATTACAGGCAAGAGCCACCAGCACCTGGCTTCTGACTGAGAGTTATTTTTAAGGTATGTTGCTCTTGAACAATTCTCAATTGTTCGATAATTTCTGAATTGCTTCTGACATTCCATTCCATCCGTTCAATTATTTTGACAGGTACCTCACTAGTTTAATTCCCAGAATCTACACAGAAGGAGAATCGGGCATGTATATCAGCCCATTGGCCCAGTCAACTGTCAATCATACACCTTTGCAGACCTGATTTTAAGAGCTCACCTGGCAATCTCACAGGGACAGAATCCCACCAAACCTCCCCCCAGAGATATCAAAAGCATGAAATACCGGCTCCCTTTCATGCTCAAAGTCTAAAAAGATTCCCAAATCTTTTGCCTCATCTTTTAAAAAATAATACATTAAAATCAAATGGAATAACTTACCATTGCACTCCAACTCTCCAGCAATACAATAGCTGCAAGTTACATTAGAAAAGGAAATTAGAATGAGTTGGAAATTTAGATTCCTAATGACAGGCATCTCACAAATTTAATACAACATGCTGACTACCTGTGAAAATCAAACAGATCTAAGAGAACAGTAAAGAATCAAGAATCACTTCCCTGAGAGCATGGCTAATTTCAATTGCTTGTTTATTCCTGTGCTGTGTCTCCTAATGATTCTACTTGGTTCTGGGACATAAGGAATGGTTTTTAGTCGAGCTGTGAAGTCAGCCCCTAAATTACCAGGTTCAAACCAGGTTCATGGACAAATGGCCCAAGTACAACCTCATGTTTGTGTTTTCTTCTTAGGAATCCTGTAAAAATCCCTTTACATTGATAAAATTCCAATATTTTCCCTAAAACTACAGAGTGATATTTTCTTTTCTGACATCTATCATTGTTAAATGTAATATTTAATTGATCATTAGTTGATCTGTGAATTTCTTGAAAATACAAGATAACATAACTGGCATAAACTGAATTTAAAGCCTTCCCATTTCGTAATGATCAAAGCACACAAGAAACAGGATTGGAGAGGGGTCAAGAGTACTCCATACACAGTATGAAAATAGAATAATGAAATACTTTAAAACTGCTTTTAGAAAAAAGGAAAGGGGCTTTACCCCAGTGGTTCATTCTCGCTAATCCTAGCTACTCATGAGGCTGAGATCTGAAGATGACAGTTTGATGCCAGCTCAGGAAGGTCTGTGAGATTCTTCTCTCCAGTTAACCACCAAAAAGCTGAATGTGGAGCTATGGCTCAAATGGTAGAACAAAACCTCAGGGACAGTACCCAGGCCCTGAGTGCAACACACACACATACACACACACAAACACACACACACACACACACACAAGGAATAAGAAAGAACAACAGATAAATTTATCAGTGTGCATTATATACCTGTTTGGAGATACCAACATGAAATTACAATTATACAAATTATTAATTTGTACAGTATATACTAATAAAATGAGGGGGAAAAGGAAACAACAAAGTTAAAATTCACCCATGATGAAAAATCATACTGAGCAAAGTAAGCCAGGTCCAGAAATATAAGACACATAATATTTTTTCAATCTGTAGATTCTAGCCCTAAAATATAGCTTCCCATGTAAACATCATAGAAGTAAATACTTATATATATGAGTTACTGGACTGTGCTATAAGCATGGATAAATCTCCATGGAGAAGAGTTTTTGAACAACTTGACAGTTTAACCAAATGAGTACCAGGATGCTGAAATAAGACTGTAAGAGGAGAAGGGAGCATAAAGAGAGTTGGATGATTAAAAAGGGACCAGGGGACAAATTCAGCCAGAATAACCAATGTCGCTATGTGATAAAAGAAGTGGGAAATGGGAAATGAGTCTGGGGAGGGGAGGGAAAGAACAGGAGGACAAATGACTCTAAGCAAGAAGAGTTGGACACTTAGATGGACATGTGAAATTGTAATCCCCTTGTAAAACCTTTTGAAGTTGAGGGAAAGTTTCCTTGCTTTTCTAAATGAAAGAGCAAAAATAAAAAAATAAAAAGAATCAACTGCTTATTGAAAAGTGCATAGAGAACGTACCATGTTCTTCCACAATCATCTTGCACGACGCCCCCTGCTGGTATAACATCATTATAGAAGCAGCTGCATTCCGACAGACCCACGCACTTCATGGTGTTCTCATCCAGGTAGGGCGCACTTTCTGGGCACTTGGCATAACAACCTACAAGCACAAATGACCCTAAATTCATTTCTGTTTCTAGAAACCCATCCTGAATGCATTACACACCTGTAAAGTTACTTGCACAATTCCACAAACTGACGTAGACGATAGCAAAAACTCACAGTCCTGCTGAAAAAATATATAAATGGAACAGAATTCAAGTTCTTTGGTCCTGAAGCATCAAACTCCAAAACTTCTTAACTAGGATCAATTAAGTTGTTCCCTCAAGTATTGTGTGTGTGTGTGTGTGTGTGTGTGTGTGTGTGTGTGTGTGTTAGTCCTAGGGCTTTAACTCACAGCTTGGGAGCTGTCCCTGAGCTATTTTGTTCAAGGATGGCACTCTACCACTTGAGTCACTGCTCCATTTCTGGCTTTTTAGTGGTTAACTGAAGATAAGAGTCTCACAGACTTTCCTGTCCTGGTTGGCTTCGAACCGTGATCTACAGATCTCAGCCTCCTAAGTAGGTAAGATTACAGGGGTGAGTCACTGGTACCCAGATCCCTCTAGCATTTTTAAATGATTTGCTATTTGAGCAACTTGCATGATGTTGAATAAAAAACAGACCATGGATCTGGGTAACAGTGACTCAACCCTGTAATTTCAGGAGACTGAGATATGAAGATCACGATTAGAAGCCAGCCCAGGTAAGAAAGTCAGTGAGACTCTATCGCCAATAAATTACTCAGAGAAAGCTGGAAGTGGAGCTGTGGCTCAAGTGGTAGAGTGCTAGCCTTGAGCACAAAAATGCTCAGGAACAGTACCCAGGCCCTGAATCCAAGCTCCAGGACCAGCACATGTGCGCATATACACACACATACACACACACACACACACACACACACACACACACACATACACACACACCAGGGATGTAGCTTAAAATATGAATCCCAAACATCTACTTTGTACAAGAGTAAATAAAGATGTACAAGTCACATTAAAACATGCTGAAAATATCTCATAACCTAGGTCACATCACTGGTACAGCCATGAAGTTTTAGTATCCTTTGGTTTTCCTGTCACTTCTTTCTCTCTAGGGTACTTAAGAATAACATGATCCTTAAAGATGAGATATAGCAGATCGCATTCTATGTTGCATTCTGAAACTCACTTCTCATCAAACTACATTGCTTAATTTTTTTAAAAAAAAGTATAGACAGCTGAGCACTAGTGGCTCACGCCTGACATTCTTGGCAGGAAAATCCATGAGACCCTTATCTCCAATGAACCAGCAAAACGCAGGAAGTAGAGGTGTAGCACAGTGGTAGTATACCAGCCTTGAGAAAAAAAAAAAAAAAGCTAAGGGACAGTAGCCAGGCTCTGAATTCAAAACTGAGAGTCAACAACAACAACAAAAAGGACATCATTTGCAGGACTTTGTGGCTATTCTTAAAATGTCTTACCTTCTAAAAGTGCAGAAAACTTCTGGCCAATGACCCGATCTTTGCATGTTTTAGCCATCACTGTACCACAGGGTTCGTAATGCCAACTGCATTCTCCAGGGGTGTTGTAGTAATCACAGTACACCGCTGTAAACAATGATAGCAGATTATTGTCATGATCATTTTCACCCTTTGTTCTCCAAAGCATTTTTATTACATTTATTTTTCTAAGTAGTTGTACAAAGGGGTTCAAGTCCACAGTTCATATTAGAGGGACAAAGTATCTTCATCCAAAGCATTTTTAAAGGGATCTTAGATGATATGAATAATAAAGTAGCTAAAGGATGTGTCATTCTGCCTCTTCCCATGTTTTTAGTTTTTCTAAATTAGGTTTGGGCACATAGCCAAGGCAATTCACTAAAAAGTGAGAGCTTTATAAGTTGAAAATAAGTTGAGATATCACATGAAGATAGTTTTGAAGTGAAAAAGAAATAACTATTTTTCACATTTGGAGGTGCCTTAGATTACAGTTTAATGTTCAAGCTTAAGTTGTAAAAAATCTGCTGAAAAAATTGTCTTAAGCCTGTCATTATTCTTAATGTATGATAATTTAATATATAAAAGTTGCTAAATTAAGTTAAAATGTCGGTATATGATAGTTTTCAGTAAGGTTTTAATATGTGATAGTTTAAATAATGGTTCCCAAATCAATCAGTTCAAGAAGTCATATAATGCCAAACACTACAGATAAAATGAGGAAAGTTAAGTGTTCTATTTGAATACATCTCATTTAGGAGATTTTTCCTTGTACTGCATGCTTGGAGGGAAAGTGTGTACTGATTTCTATTAAAGTTATGCTTCATATATGTCAAGATTCATTTTAGATTCCATTAATACTTTATCTTCCATGGAGCTCTGTGAAAAAAAAAACTTCAAGGGGAAAATGTGTGAGGTTTTCAATTAAGAGTATGTATGAGCTGGTGGCTTGTGGCTTACTCTCAGTAGCCACTCAGGAGGCTGAGATCTGAGGATCATGGTTCAAAGCCAGCCTGGGCTGGAAAAGTCCATGAGATTAACCTCCAATTAAGAGCAAAAAGGAGGGGCTGGGAAGGTGGCTCAGTGGTAGAGCGCTTGCCTTGCATGCATGAGGCCCTGGGTTCAATTCCTCAGCACCACGTAAGCAAAAAGAAAAAAGCCGGATGTGGCGCTGTGGCTCAAGTGGTAGAGCGCTAGCCTTGAGCTGAAGAGCTGAGGGACAGCGCCCAGGCCCAGAGTTCAGGCCCCACGACCGGACCCCCCCCCCCAAAAAAAAAGAGCAAAAAGGAGGAAATGGAGGTGTGGATCTAGTGGAAGAGTGCCAGCCTTGAGTGAAAAAGCTAAGGGACAGCTCCTAGGCCCAGAATATAAAGCCCAGGTAGGTACACATGTGTATACACATACACACACACACACACACAGTATATGTGAAATAATGTTCAGGGATATATTTATATACCAAGAGAGATATAAAGTTCATTGTGCATCTAAGTATGAATAAGAGATCTTTTCTATTGGTAATTCCTTTTTCTTCTCTCCTCCTCTCCTCCTCCTCCTCCTCCTTTTCTTCTTTCTTCTTCTTCGTGCAGGTCCTGGGGTTTGAACTCGGGACCTGGGTGCTGTCCCTGCGCTTCTTGTGCTCCAAGCTAGCACCCCCCCGCCCCCCACCCCCGGGGCGGCAGCTCCACTTGGTCTTTGGGTAGTTGGTTGGGAGAGGAGCGTCGGGCAGACTTTCCTGGCTTCTTTGAGCCTGGGCTCTCAGCCCGGAGCAGCTAGAATGACAGTGTGATCCCGCAGCACCAGCACCGCTGGGGTAACCGCAAGAAGTTCTGCGACTAAACCTGAGCCCTAAGAGCAGCGTCCCACGCTGGGTTTAGGCTGGGTTTAGGCTGGGTTTAGGCCGGGCCCCGCTTCCCCCTCCCTCCCTCCCTCCCTCCCCGCGCAGCGCACTCACGGCACAGGCTGGGCTTCCGCCAGGAGACGCACACCCCTGCGGCGTTGCAGGCCTCCGCGTACGTGGCCACGGCCGTGCAGAAGCCGGGGTACTTGCCCTCCACGTCGCAGGCGCAGGCCTCCTCCACGCAGGCCTCGTAGTAGGCGGTGGGGTCGACCTGGGCAGGGCAGGCAGGTGAGCAGGGGGAGGAGGAGGGGGAGGGGGGAGGAGGGGAGCCCCGCCCCCCCAGCCCCCAGCCGCGGGCTCCCCCCCCACCACCGCTCCCCAGGCTACCTTGCTGTGGCAGGCCTGGAAGGTGCTGTCCCGGAGGATCTCGCACTTCCTCACAGCCCATGCTTTGCAGTATGGGTTGGAGTCACACGGGAAGCTCTGGGTGACCGTGTTCGAGCACTCTTGACTTGTTTTCCAACTATTCCCAAACTCCAGGGCGCCGCCAGCCACCGAGGAGTGCCTGGTGGTGAAGTCGTCTTTGAGGTCGCCATTGTTGTTCCCACAGAGGCCGCACACCTGGCCCTGTGTGCGGCAGAGAGGGGAGGTCAGAAGGAGCTGTGCAGGTCAGAAGGGTAGGTGGGTAGACAGACAGAGAGACAGATGATAGATAGATAGATGGATGGATAGATAGATACATGGTATACACATAGCTAGAAGATGACAGAAGAGACAGAAAGACAGACAGACAGACAGATAGATAGATGATAGATGAATAGATGATAGACAGATGACAGATGGATAGATGATGGATAAATAAGTAATACACATATATCTAGATGCTGAAGACTGATGAGAAACATTTGCATGATAAATGATACATAGAGATAGATGATAGATGCATAGATGACAGATAAATGATACACATATAGCTAGATAATGATGTTGAAGAGAGATAAATGAGAAATATTTGCATAGATGATACACATAGATAAGATAGATACATACATACATAACTCAACAGGTACCACAATTATGGATGATAAATGGATGGATATTAGATGATAGATAAGGACAAATAAATTATTGATAGATGATAGAGAGACAGAAATTTAAGCTGATAAATATCACAATTATATAAACTATACCATGAGTCTATGTGAACCCCAAATGTGTGAGGGGCAGAGTAATCAGAATTTGTAGATAAGATTCCTTCCCATTCAACACAGTTATCTGATATGGCAAAATAACCTAGGGTCAAGTGGAATAAATGCCTTAAAAATGAACAATAATATTCACAAATTTCAAATTAAGAATGTGTATTCTCTGAGGTTCTTAAGACTATTAGCTACAAGGAATCCATTTAATTCAAATTTTGAAGTAACCACTTCAAAAATCCTATCATGTGATAATCTCAGGTAACCAAACATGGCTCAAATAAATGCCTCAAGCCAGTTGTATTAACCTTTTCACCACATTTTATTATCTTTGATAGCATTTAGTTCATGATAAAGATGAAGAGAAAGTTTTCTTCCAGTAACAGACACCCCACAATTAGCCTACTCTATACCACTGAACTTCTAAAAATTTCAAGAACAAGAAACTACTTGGCTTCTGTGCACATACATGCCAGCGTGGATCCAGAATAGCAGATAGCTTTGTGTATTTGTCCCAAATCAGGATTATTCCATTTGCAAGTTTCACAATCAAGTACAGGCCAACAGTGTGGATGGAGTAGGTTTTGGTGGCAAGTTCACATTCTTTACTTTCCGTGGTTTTAACTGCGGTTACTTTTCCCTCTTGCAAGACAATGTTATGATCCTACAAATGAAAAGAGATGAGACCGGTTTCATTTGGCTGCCTCTGACCTGAGAGAAAAAGTAGATAACAGATAAAGTGATTTGTACCTGAAAAGCAACCACGATTTTTCTGGAGCATGTCAGCCCATCTTCACAGCATGGAACACTCTCAGTTAGAATGCGGAAGGTACCATTTTCTCGACCACAATAATCCTGGGAGGGGGGGAGAATGAGATTATAACTGCTCATAAATATCAGGCATATTTATTTATAATATTATAATATATTATTATATTCTTATCTATTATTATTATTATCTATGTCAGGCAAACACTTCATTACGCATGATGCTTAAACTCATTGTGTGATGGAATTTCCATAGAGCAATGCATTTATGGCTAGGTAGCCTTGGCTTGGTGCAATCTAATTAACTTGTGTTGACACTTCCCTCTTCTATTAATTCTACACATTTAGAATTATACCACAGATAAATGACCGTGTAAATTACATGTGTTTCTAGTTTTAACTTACATGTACATTCTGCAAATAAATAATTGGTTAAAAGGGTTTCCTTTTCCTCCATGATTTAAATAAAACCTGGTATTTCACCAAAACTAAAGTAAAAATACAAATCAATGCTAATTTCATCCATTGGATGGTACGTAGAAGTAGTTTAATAGTTTAACTGCCTGTAAAAAGCCTATACTCAAGATAGAAACTGATGGCTCCCTCATGCCTATAATCCTAGCTACTTATGAGACAGAGACCTGAAGATCCTAGTTCGAAGCCATCCTGGGCAGGAAAATCTGTGAGACACTTATAGTCAAAAAGCAAGAAATGCAACTGGGATATATAGAATAGAATGGGATATATAGGGATCTATGGTATATAAAGAATAGAATGAATAGAATTCCCAAGAACTCAGCTAGAAAGGAATAATAATTAAGAATAGAAAGGTTGACATGAAATATACTCATAATTACCTCAAGAAATGTGTACTGGCAGAGACCATCAAAGCTGTAACTTTCTCCATCAAAAGTTCTAACATGCCCTTCCCCGTAGATGTGGCAGGTGGTCTGACATTCATTCTGTGTGCAGTTCCAAGATCCGTTAATGCAAGTGCTAAAGGAGAAAAATGAAGAGTGTCACAATTATTCTTCCCAGGTTTTTATCTTCAGCTTGCTTTTGTAAAGAAGCAGTAATGATATTTCTTTTTTCTTTTTTACTTAGATTCTGTAGGTGTCCTCCTATTGTCTGATGTTCATTACAACATAATTGCCGTATAAAGTTTCTTTCTTCAAAATACATCAACTTTTGATGGGCACAGTGGCTCAAGTCTATAATCTCAGCTACTCTGGAGGATTGTGATTCAAGGCTAAGCTATAAAGTTCACAAGGATAGATAGATCTCAACTGATGAGGCCTGGGTGTGGTAGTATATACCTGTCAATTCAGCTCCCAGAGAAGCATCACAGGAGTATCGTGACCTAGGCCAGCATGATTATAAACACTAGACTCTCTGCAAAACATACTGTGGCTCATGCCTGTTAACCCTAGCTACTCTGAGATCCCAGATTCTTTGAACCACCCAGATTGTGATTCAGAGCCAGCCTGAACAGGAAAGTCCATGACACTCTTACTCCCAATGAACAACCAAAACCAAACCAAAAAAACAAACAAAACCAGAAGTGAAACTGGCTCAAATGCAGAATGCCAGCCTTGAGGAAAAACGATAAGACACAGAACCTCAGCCCTGAGTTCAAGCCCCAGTATTGGCGTGCATGAAAAAATACAAATTAGCTACAGCCAACAAGGCTTCGAATGTGGCTCAGATGCTAGAGCACCTGCCTTGAGTTCAAATCCCAAGCACAAACAACAAAAGAAAACCAAACAAACACAAACTACCACAACAAAACTCCCAGCATCTTTCACACATTACATTTGTTTTTTTTCTCAGTCTATGGTATGACTTTCTCTTTCCCATAGAAAAGGAGATAAGAGGAAACTACATTTTTAAAAATATCCAAACCAATAAAATAGAAATCCTTGATTACACACCACTCATTACAACCAACAGCAGTTACACTCCCTTGTTCGTATTCTTGTTCACCAAAAGAACATGGGCAGTCATCTGGAAGCACACATCTCCCTTTAGAGTTCCGCACCATTCCCACGGGACAATAGCACCCACGTTTGCAAGGCAGGTCATCCTACAAGAATAAACGTAAAATAGGCACAATGAGCTATGGCTGTAATCTTGTTATTATGCTCTCAGCATCAAGTTCAAGTCCATAAATCATCAAGTTCAAAAATACACTAAATCTACGTTAGGAGCCCACACTGGATGAATCTATCTATCTATCTATCTATCTATCTATCTATCTATCTATAAAAATATACCAACATTCCTTTTTATTTCTTAAATGTTTTAATTTCCTTTAACTTTAAAAAAATTAAAAGTTTTAAAGGCCAGCCCCCTAGTACCATACAACTTACATCAAAAGCGGGTATGTTCCGCGTGCTACATGTTTTGTCAGATCTTCTTTGTGCCTTCGGATCCTTGCAGTCCACATACTCAGCCCCGCCAGTGCAATTTTCTGTAAAAGGAAAAAGTTCTTGTTGATCCAAGGTCTCTTGATCTATTTTAGATATTTATTGATCTGAATATCTAATGCCTATATTTTAGATTAGATAGACCTAAATACCTTTTTAATACTTATGAAAAAGATCAATATTTTATGCATCTTTCACAATGTTTAAACTTGTACCGTGGTATCAACACTTACGTAGAGTTAAATCAAGTGGGGTCTGACAAAGGAGCATTCCATTTCGGCAGACACTGTGAAGAAAAGGAAATTACGTATATAAACATTAAATGTCAAAGATAGTTGGATAAATAAGACACAGTCCCCAGAAGACATATAAAACATACCAAATATTAAGTTCTAGCTTTATAAGTACTGTGGGAATGCAAAAAAGTCCTACAGACATCAGAAACACATTATAGAAAGACACACACACACACACACACACACGTCAGAAGTGGAGCTGTGGCTCAAGTGGCTGAAAGCTAGCCTTGAGTAAAAAGGCAAAGCAAGAGTGTGAGGCTGCCAGGCGCTGGTGGCTCCTGCCTGTAATCCTGTAATTTGAGTATCACAGTTCAAAGCCAGCTCAAGCAAGAAAGTCTGTGAGACTCTTATCTCCAATAACCAGAAAACTGAAAATGACACTGTGGCTTAAATGGTAGAGCACTAGCCTTGAGCTGAAGAGCCGAGGGACAGCACCCACGCCCATAGTTCAAACCCTACAACTGACCAAAAAAAAAAAACGAAAGAAAGGAAGGAAGAAAGAAAAGGAAGGAAAGAAAGAAAAGAATGTGAGACCATGAGCTCTAGCCTCAGTAGCAGCACAAAAATAAAATCCAGCTCTTTGGAAAACTCATTTATTTTCTGCAATAGAAGCTGATCTAGCTTACCATGTTGTATGTCATAGTGCGACTCCCTTTTACATCTTGCTGACTTTGTGAGTACATGACAATGTTTCCTCATTGTTTTGTAACTCCAGTGGCCAGCACCGAGGCCTAGCACAGACAGAGCTACTTATTCAGTATCTCCTTAAGCTCCTACTTATTGAATAATAAGATACTTTTTCTGGTTATTAAATATTTACTTTTGAATATTGTTTATTGAAGCATTTGATTGTATAGTGAATGATGCCTCTTGAGAAAAAGCTAGATGGCTATACATTGCTGAAAAGAATTGTCTGAATATAAAATCCCTCTGGGTTCTGTTTATAAAAACTGCTGGGTTATTTTTCTACTGGTCTTCAAATCAAAGCAGAGTAGGATATACCATGTATGATCACTATGACTCAATGACTCTGTAAGAATGAAAGAGGCAATAACAAACAAACATAAATAAGAAATAATGGCTGGGTGCTGATGGCTCCCATCTGTAATCCTAACTACTTAGGAGGCCGAGATCTGAAGATTGAGGTTTGAAGCTAACCTGGGCACAAAAGTCAATTAAATTCTTGTTTCTGAATAACCGAAAAAAAAGGAAGTAAGGAGGGAAGGGAAAGAGGGAGGGAGGAAGGGAAAAAAAGGAGGGAAGGGAGGGAAAGAGGATAGAGAAAGAATGAGAAATATAAAGGAAAGGCAAGAAAGAATAGAGATAAAAAGAAAAAGGAAAGGAGGGAGGGAGAAAGGAAGAAGAAAGAAAGAAAAAGGAAAGAGAAATCGAGAAAAAGAAAGAAAAACAAGACACAGAAGGGAAGAAAACAAATATGTCAGTCTAAAGGAGACAGCATACAAGCAAATGACTTTCTCTTCAGCGAACCACTCTTGATGTCCCTATCATAATCAACACACATGGACTCCCATACCATTTATTGTCATCAATATGGATGAGTTTGCCTGGTGGTACTACTTCATCATTGACATAGCAGTCACACTGAGATTTCTGAACACAATTTCCTTCATTATCCTTGTACATTCCATCAGGACAAGTGCATCCATCAACTGGAACATCTTCTAAATCACAGCTTCTGTCTCTCTGTGACAAGGATCGGCAAGTACGATTGCAGGCTTTGACATTGTATTTGAACACGAGGCCACTTGGACAAGTTTGTTCTGGGGGTACAGAAACCAAAAGAGAAAAATAATGAACATATGTTCATATTATTCAACCTGTAAGTAAAAGCATTTGTACTTCAGCTTGAAACTTATAGATATGATAGTGGATTGTTCATAACAAATTATGGCTGGGAACCAGTGTCTCACGCATGTAATCCCAGCTACTCAGGGAGCTAAGATCTGAGAATCCTGGTTTGAAATGAGTCCAAAGAATAGGCAGATGAAATCAGGAAGGATGCCCAGAGATAGAGAATAGTGTGTGTGTGTGTGTGTGTGTGTGTGTTTGTGTGTGTGTGTGTAATTAAGCTTGAACTCAACTTGAGCACTTTTTGGCTCAAGGCTAATGCTCTACCACTACAGCCACAGCTCCACTTCTGACATTTTGGTAGTTAATTAGAGATAAGAGTCTTGTAGACCCTTTTGCTTGGGCTGATTTTGAATCACAGTCCTCAGATCTCAGCCTTCTGGGTAGCTAGGATTATAGGCATGAGCCACTGGGATCCCACTGGATTTTATTTTAAAGAATACGCTGGTTTCTGTAGACATGATGCAGTAGAGGAAGCCAAGAGGAGATGTTAAAGGTTATTGCAATCACTCAAAAGAAAAAAAATAAAAGGTGGTTTCTTGAGCTAAGTTTGTATAAAAGTGATCAAGAGTTATGCAGAGATTTTATAAGCAAACTTGCTAGGCTTTACTGATTAATTAAATACTAGCTATGAATTATTTTTCAGGTTATGTAAGAGAGCATTTCTATGATGTTTGTTGGGTTTTTATTGCGGTTTTGTTTTCTTCTGTAAAATCAACTATTTTTGTGAAGTCATATTGAAAGGGTACAATAAATATTTTACCACAAAGCAGGATCATATAAATATGATAGTTGGGGCCTTTCAATAGATTTTATTCAACAGAATCTCATCTTAAAAGACATTAACTGATTATTGTTTAAATTTCAGCATACACAAATCAAAGAATATTGTGTATATAAATACATAGAGATTTTGTGTTGTTTACATATCAATATCTTAAACTATATCAGGAAAACAGACTCCAAGAGGAGAAGAGGGGGAGAATGCAGTCAAGAATTCAATATATATGCTACAAAATTAAGAAGAGTGAGGGCAGGGATGAGGAGGGAAGGGATGGGTGAAAATGTTGAAGAGGCATTACATTCATAAACTGCTTTGATAAATGGAAATCCCTTTACAACTGCTTAAAGATAGTATTTTTAAAAGACAGTATTTTCACATATTAAGAAATTCAAGAAAGGCTCAGTAGCATTAAACAAAGGAAATTCAGTTTTGAAAATTATGAGGTACAAATTTGGGAATGTGCATGCATAACACACATAATCACAATTACATACATATACATACACACTCAACATACACACACATACATATGTACAGTCTCTCATACACTCTCATTTTCATACAATCACTCACATACATCCACACACTCACACTTATACACTCTTGTGCATACACACAATCTCTCATACACATTCATATTCACACAAAATTGCACACAGCCACACACACACATACACACACACACACACACACAAAGTGAAACAGAGGCGCAGGTTGAGTTACTGGAAATCACTTACCGCACAGGCCGGCTCTCCAACCTGCCATGTTTTCTCCTTTGACAGCACAGGCTTTTACATAGTTGTCTAGAATTGTACACAGGCATTCTTGACTGTTTTCACAAGAACAAGTGTATTTGTTGCATTCCTTTGAAAATAAAAATTTACATTGCATTCTAAAATTATTCACAAGAACAGCAAACCGAGGATAACAATTCATTGCTTACTCTTCCACGCTGAAACAAATATTGACTCTGAAACATCTAGAAATATCAACTGAACTATTTGAAACAGAAATTTAATTAACTCCTGTATTAAAGAACATGGAAAAGACAAAGAAAAATGCAGTGCATATGTTTTTCGCATTTGGGGTTATCATGGAGTGGTGTTATTTCCTTAAATTGGTATATTAATACTTGAATAAATTAATGGAATCAAATGCTAAAATTAAGCTCATGCTTCAGCCTACTGACAGCGGCTGCCATTTGAAAATGTTGATATGTTGTTGTCAGGGTTAGTAAAGTATTCCTCAAAATTTCTATCACCCACCTCGTGATAGAATTTGGGGTTCACAACTGAATGGCAGGAAGCAAAAGGCCCACTTGAATCCAGAAGAATTCCACATTTATTTTCAGCAAACTTTTCTGGAAGAGAAATTAATTGCCCAGAATTAGTACCAACAACATCATAATTTTTTTCTTTCTTAAATTTTTTTAGCAGTCTAAAAAAAATTTAGCAGGGCCTTAAGCTTGCTGGGCTGGTGCTCTACCACTTGAGCAATGCCCCTAATCCTTTTTGCTTTAGCTTTTTTCAGATAGTGTCTCATACGTTAAAAAAATGGTACCTTGAAATGTGATCCTCCTACTTATACTGCATAATTGGGACTACAGGAGTATACTACTATGCTTAGCTACTAGTTTCACTAATTTTTAAAAAGATGCAAATTTTAACAGCTTTAAACAGCTTTATCTATTTTAGGACAATTGTTTTTGAAAGTATTTTGCGAGCCAGAAGCCATTAGCATTCCTATTAAACAAAGCTTTTCTGGGATCCATTATCACATGCACTTTAATAGGGATGACTGCCCTATCAGTGTCCATCTCTGAGTTTATACAAGAGTAACTTCAAATCTTTATGAAAAGTCATGTAAGTGTCAGGTTGTATTAACACCTTCATTTGGAGCGTGATATTACTGATAGACATGGCAGAGGTGGTCAGGACAGCTAGACCCAGGAATTGCCCTGTCATAAAACAGCGGTAGCCCTTGGCAGGGGAGGAGGGGCATGTTCACTAAGTGCACCAGTGGTTACTAGTAAACCAGATGACTTCTATAATCTCTTCTTACCCTATTATTCTGAGTTTGTGGAGAAAACTGTGAAAGACACAAAAGAATGGGTATAGAAAAAATGCAACATTGATCTTCCTTAGCTAAAGCTAGGGTTATCTGGTATGTTCTTATTGTTATCAGAATAAGTACATAATCCCTAGCACTATACTAAAATAACAATTTGTTACTCAGTTACTATTACCTGTTTCTATACTGATGCATGTCGAGGGGGTTCCTTTAGGGCAGGCTGCCATTTCCCAAGAATTAGCAAATGCATGAGACGTCTTCTCCAATATATTCTGACTGGACAAGAAATCGTCCTCAGCTTTGTTGTTGTAGGAGCCGCACAGCCCTGTATCATAATAATAACACAGAGCAAAGTATAACATTTGCCGCCTTCTCAGCTTGTGCGTTTCAATCCTTACTGCTGTTCTGTGTTCAAATCAACACCTACAGAAACTACCTGAGGAAAAATGGTTAGGTAGACAACAGATGGATATATGATATGATAGCAGGTGCTCATTTAAGCCCTACCAATATATAGCCAAGATATAGTCAAGAAGATCGATAGATGATAGATGGATGGCAGAGATAGACATGAGAGATGGCAGATAGGAAGAAGAGACTGATGATGGATAGTTAGATGATATAGGTGATGGATAGAAGATAGGAAAATACTTAGACAGGCCGGGTGCTGGTGGCTCACGCCTGTAATCCTAGCTACTCAGGAGGCTGAGATCTGAGGATCGCGGTTCAAAGCCAGCCCGGGCAGGAGAGACCGTGAGACTCCTATCTCCAATAAAACCACCAGAAAACCGGAAGTGGTGCTGTAGCTCAAGTGGTAGAGCGCTCACCTTGAGCTGAAGAGCTGAGGGACAGCGCTCAGGCCCAGAGTTCAAGCCCCACGACCGACAAAAAAAAAAAAAAAGGAAAATACTTAGACAGGACATGACAGGAATGATAGATAGATAGATAGATAGATAGATAGATAGATAGATAGATAGATAGATAGATAGATAGATAGATGATAGGCCAGCAGGCAGATGACAGAAAATATTAGGTAGGTAGATAGATAGATGGAAATATATAATTTCTATACACATAGATGATAGATAACATAGATATATGTCTACATATACACATATGTATGCCTACATTTTACAAATTTCATGTCAGTTGATTCCATTCAATTGATCTTTGGCTCAAATTCCAGAGCTCAGAAATTTGTTCACCTGTACTGTGATTTTCCTGATAGTCACTTAATAGAACCTTAATTTGAAATTTATAAATATTTAAATAGTTTCTTTAAAAAAAACTTTGGAAATAAATTTTGTGATGACTAAAGCTCTCTTTACTACAAAGAACAAGATGACATTATTTTATTACAGTGCAGAAGGGAACACTAAGTCAAAATGCCTTATTGGTTTGGTGTTGTTGAGAGATCATTGTAAATAAAATACATTCATATTATACCCTAAGAAGTGAAATCTACCCAGAGGACTTACCCACGGTGTCTGAGAATTGGTTGGGTGGCACGGAAACATACAGTTGCATCACAGGGAAATATTGAATTTGCATTTTCACTCCTAAGTATGTTTCTACTTGAAAGTATGAGGAAGTTGGTTTGGAGATCTGCACTTCATCTGTTAAAATAATGATTAAAATGAGTGAATCTCTTTGTAACTAGTTTTAATATATTTGAATACTTCACATCTAGTAAAGCAAAAGTATTTAATATCTTTTAAAACAAAATAAACAAATGCATCCTCTGTTTATATTATTTTGGGGGGTACTGGTACTGGAGCCTGAACTCATGGCCTCATGCTCTTAGTTGTCTTTTTCTGCTCACAGTTGGTGCTATGCCATTTGAGCCATACCTCTACTTCTGGCTTTTTGCTGGTTAATGGGAGATAAAGGTCTAAGGAATTTTTTCTGCTTCAGCTAGCTTCAAATTGCAACCCTCATGTGTCCATCTCCTACTACTAAGTTAGGATTATAGGTATGAGCCACCAGCACCCAGCCCATTTGATGCTGATTTTAAAATACAAATGTTAAACTTACCTGAATTGTAAGAATCTTGAATTCTAACCACATCGTTTGTGACTGTCCCATCACTGTTGAAAACAAACTTGCCACCTGAAGCAGACTGACAGTGAAAATATTCCTTTAGTACATATTAATTGAAAACATTATTTTTATGTACTATATGCATATGAATTGGGAGCTATAAAACATTTTATATTTTTAACATTTTATAAAACATTTTATAATTTTATAGAATTAGTTTATATTGTACTGTTTTGTAGAATGGGAACTTTTTTTTTTTTTGTCGGTCATGGGGCTTGAACTCTGCCCCTCAGCTCTTCAGCTCAAGGCAAGCGCTCTACTGCTTGAGCCATAGCACCACTTCTGGTTTTCTAGTGTTTTATTGGAGATCAGAGTCTCACGGACTTTTCTTCCTGGGCTGGCTTTGAACCAAGATCCTCAGATCTCAGTCTCCTGAGTAGCTAGGATTACAGACATGAGTCACCAGCGCCCAGCTAGAATGGGAACTTCTTTGTACAACTACTTAAAGATAATACTACTACTACTAATACATGTTAAAAAAGAATTAGTTTATATTAATTTCATTCTTTCTCATGCCAACTCTGTGTCACATTATTGAAAGAAACTATCAGCCCCACCTTGTAAATGAAACAATTTAAATGCACAAACTGTAACTTGAATTTTCAAGTTACAACACACTCTAAGTGCTAAATCCAGGCTAACTGGATATTTGATTTTTGTCCCTCTTAAACCATTTGGTCTGAATATACAAATTCTAAGTAAATTCTACTGTCCTCCTTCTTAAATGGTTCACAGAGTTTAATAATCGAGTCAGCACCTAAGATTGATCTGCAAAGAATCTATAACTGTATTTATGGTAAATTTTTATATACATCAGGACCTTGTCTCTAGCAAACTTTGTTAGGAACTTACCAACGTGTGTGTGTGTGTGTGTGTGCGCGCGCGTGCATGCGCACGTGCGCACGCACAGGACACGCGCCAGTTTCTGGGGCTTGAACTCAGGGTCCTACACCCTTGCTTGGCTTTTTCCTCTCAAGATGTTACTTTACTATCTCCAGCTTCCTATTGGTTAATTGAAGATAAAAGGCTCAGTAGACTTTCCTGATGAGCCTGGCTTTGAACCATGATTCTCAAATCTGAGCCTCCTGTGTAACTGGAATTATAGGCATGAGCACCTGACCAAAACCCATTTTTAATTGATCTGATTTACTATGACTCAATGACTGGAACTTAATTACTTACAGAATTCAAGAGAAATGAGACCCTATTTAAGCATGTTCCCGTCTGACCCTCTGCACATGGGTGGAGCTCAACACCAACAGACAAATCTTCATTCTGTAAAAAGAGTCTTTGTGTTAAAACAATGCTTATTTGTAAGCTATTACTCCGTGACTCATTCACAAATGCACGTTCAAAACTTACATATGCAATTTCCGTATAAAAATCAATCCATCTGAAAATAGAAACCTAGGTCACCCCACATTACAACCTTCAGGGAAGCTATGAGCTTCATGTATAATCAGAGTGATCTTGCATTAAGCTGTGGAATCTAAAACTTGGGGGTTTTCATAGTTATCACTTTTTTTCTTTTACATTTATTTTTGATCTTCCCACAAAAGTAATTATGAGGACTTCAGGAATTAGGGACAGCATAGCTTTTCAATCTCTCGATAAGATATAATTTCTGTGTAAATCCAATATAAGCAGTATTTAACTTGTAACACTAATACACGTTAGTCATAAATATTGGCTTCCATTTTTCCTTTCCAAGTCTAGGAATCATCAGGCATGGTAGCTCATATCTGTAATGCTAGCACTCAAAAGGCTTAGGCAGGAAGATCATGAGTTCAACACCAGCGTGGGCTAAATACAGACACCACTCCTAACAAAATCTAAATATACAAATTCCATATGCTGAGGATATTTCTCTTTTTCTTTCCTTGTTTCCAATCCTCTTAGATTAGAAGAATGCTATTAATATAAGTAAAAAAACATTATTTTATTAAGCACATATGCAAAGAAAATAGAAGACTGAAAAAAAAATTTAGTGTACTTAGAAAGTTGTTTGTCAATATAGACAGTTTTTCTTATTAGGATTTTTGTAGTAAGAATTTTTCAAGCATAGAATTCCATTATACACACACACACACACACACACACACATATACCACACTTTCTTGATCCATTCATTTACTGAGGGGCATCTGGGTTGGGTTGGTTCCATATCTTAGCTATGATGAATAATGCTGTGATAAATATAGTTGTGCTGGTAGCTTTTACAATGGAATTCTATGCCTCTATCAGAAAGAATGACACCGCCCCATTTGTTAGGAAATAGAAAGACTTGGAAAAAAGCATATTAAGTGAAGTAAGCCAGGCCCAAAGAAACATAGGTCCCATGGTTTCCCTTATCTGTAATAACTAGTATATGTCTAGGACAAGCAGAAAAGGTCAAAAGCTATGTCCATATGACCATATAAGATGATGCTAAGCGCTGGGAAGGTGGCTCAGTGGTAGAGCACTTGCCTTGCATGCCTGAGGCCCTGGGTTCAATTCCTCAGCATCACATAAGCAAAAAGAAAAAAACCGGAAGTGGCGCTGTGGCTCAAGTGGTAGAACCCTAGCCTTGAGCTGAAGAGCTGAGAGACAGGGCCTAGAGCCAGAGATCAGGCCTGACAACCAGACCCCTCCCCAAAAAAAGATGATGCTAAGCAAAATGAACCCCAAGATAGGGACACAAGAGATTTTTATCTTTGTTGCTATTGTTCTTAATGTACTTATAATGTACTATGTGATTTTCTTTGTTTCTTTTGTATGTTCTTCTCCCATGGTATAACCTCTGTTTTCACTGTATTTGATTCCAGTGCCCTGCATCTTTTATATATATATATATATTTTTTTCTAATTTGAGGAGGGGAAGAGAAATAACAAAAAGCTGACATAAGGATACAGGTTGACCTATTGTAACAATGAGATGTACTTTGTTGAAAACAAACTTTACAACTTTGGGGGAGAGGAAGGAGTTGGGGAGGTGGGGAGGGAAGGGATGGTAGGGGGAAAACAAAAGAGGGGTAACAATGCTCGATAGGAAATGTACCCATTACTTTACCCATGTAACCGTGACCCCTCTCCATATTATCATTACAATAAAAATATATAAGAAACTTCCTAAATCTGATAATAAAAAAAGAATTTTTCAAGCAGTGCATACCATACACACAAGAATACAGATATTACTAATAATGTCAATAAGTGATAGAAAACAGATATTGAAATACATATATTAAGTAATGGAAGGTTTGTTAAAGAACAATTCAGCATGAAGACTGTGTTGTTTATGTTGTTGTGCCTGTCTTAGAGCTTGAACTCATGTACTGGGCACAGTCCCTTAGCCGTTTTGCTCAAAGCTAATTCACTACCACTTGAGCCACATCTCTACTGTTGGCTTTTTGGTGGTTAATTAGAGATAAGAGGAGCAGGGACTTCCTTGCTCAGGCTGGCTTTGAACCACAATCTTAAGACCTGAACCTCCTGAGTAGCTAGGATTACAAGTGTAAGCTACCAGCACCTGGCTGACAATTGTGTTTTGAGAAACCGCTTTTTATTGACATCAGTTTGTTCAAGTGTCTTAGGTAATGACTTACGTGAATGGCCAAGAAGTGACAGTTTCCAGGGTGGTTGAATTTGTTGTCATCGAAGGTGGTAAACAAACTTCCTTCCACCTTACATCTCCCAGGACACAACGACTCAGTGCAGGACCACTTTGCCTCATGGCATGTGCTGTTGGAATGGAAGGGTTATGGGAAAGATTATTGATCATGTTTTCTCTAGGATGAAATTAAATGATGAGGACATTAGCACATCCTAAGCTAAAACCAATCTTGAGCCCCAACCTCAACTTGATAAAATCTCATTAGTGATTATTAGTGATGATATCCTGATATTTTGAAAGACTTTCTTTTTGACTAAATGATCAATTCTGCATGATTAAAGGCATGATTTCAGGCTTTGCTTTTTTTTTACATAGATGGTATTTATTGTTAATATGAGAGATAGTGGATTTTTTTAATGTAACTACTACAAACTTAAATTATTGGGAATCTAAAGTGTAAACAGGGTTTAAAGACTTTATGTGAACAAAATAGTATAAAATATCCCATTAACTATATTACTTAACTTCAGCTTGAAATTCTAATATTTTCATTCTATCAAGTTACATAAAACATATTAATGAAATTGCTTCTTTTTGCTCTGTATGTGTGTGTGTGTGTGTGTGTTTTGTGTGAGTGTGTGTGTGTGAATGTTGGGGATAGAACTTAGCCTGGATACTGTCCCTGAGCTTTTGTGCTCATGACTACATGCTCTACCACATGAGACACAGATCTACTTAGGCTTAGTTGGTGGTTAATTGAAGATAACAGTCTCACAGACTTTCCTGCCTGGATTCGCTTCAAACCAAAAACCTCAACCTCTTGAATAGCTAGGATCCCAGGAGTGAGCTACTAGGGCTGAGCTTATTTTACTTTTAAAAACATTTCAAATAAAAATGTTTAATTATATCTTGGACCCCATTACATATCCCTTGGAGAGTACATATATTTAATAAATCATAGCAATTAGTTTTCATAATTATTAATAACATATACACAATATTTCTTTATATCATTATATATAACTCCTATGTATATAATTACGATTACTATATCATTACCACAAGAATAGTTTTCATTTACGGAGAAATATTATAGCATAAGAAATAGATTTTCTTTCATTGAATCAGATTATTTCCTATAAGGACACATTTTTTATTGTAAAGATACTGTACAGAGGGGTTACAGTTACATGGTAAGGTAATGAGTACATTTCCTATGGAACATTGCTACCCCCTCCTTTGTTTTCCCCCTACCATTCCTTCCCTCCCACCTCACCAACTCTTCCCCCCAACCTCCAAAGCTGTAAAGTTCATTTTCAACATAGTGTCTTGTATGTCTTATTTTTACAATGGATCAATCTGTATCCTTGTTTCAGCATTTGGCAATATATTTTTAAACAAGTCCTTGGCAATCTTGCAGAAATTTGGAATTTCAGATAGCAAAACCATACTGAAGTATTGGGAAAATATTGCTTGTCAGTGGATTGTTTCTGAACTCCAAAGCAAAACTTAGATGTACTATCCAATTCATATATAAAAAGCAACAATAACTGGGCATATTTTAGCCCACTCCAAATTAAATATGTTGTTTACTTTCACCAATGTTGTTATACATAAAAATTATCGTGGAGGGAAAGGACAGGTGAGAATATTGGAAGGGGCGACATTGATCAAGATATGTTGTATTCACAAACTGCTTGGTTAAGTCCTTTGTATAACTACTTAAATATTTAAAAATTGAAAAAAGAAAAAGCAAAGCATTAAGTTGTTTTCCTGGCTGTATACTTTTCCAAATGTTCTTGGCAGAATTATTTATTTGATTATTATAGTTATTACATGAATTATTACATGAACTGGATACTTCAGAAATTGCGTGTATTGGTATTGAAGCTTGAACTCACAGCCTGGGCATAAGGCTAGAGCTCTTCCATTTGAGCCGTATCTCCATTTTGTCTTTTGGATGGTTGATTGGGCATAAGTATCTCATGGATGTTTCTACCCAGATCTCAGCCTCCTGAATAACTAGGATTGCAGGTGTGAGTCACTAGTTCCCTGCTGGTAATCATACTCTTTATGTCATGCTTTATCTTGTATTTACAACTACCATATGGTTTAGCATACAAAACATTATTTCACTGAGTGAATAGTATTGCCATTTATTTTATGTTTTTAATTTTTGAGCAATACATTTTTTACACTTCTTTTTATTTTTTTGTTGTTATTATAGGGTGATGTTCAGAGTGGTTATAGTTATATACAGCAGGTAAAGGGTATGTTTCTTTTTGGACAATGTCACCCCTTTCCTCGCTTTCTCCCAGTTATCCCCCTCCCATCCCCATCTACAAGTTGTATAATTCTTTTCTCACACAGTGTCTAGGGAGGACCACTGCTACATTTGTTCACCCTTTGTCCCTCCATTTCTGTGTTCCCCCTTTACCCTCTCAAAGACAGATCAATGAATAAACAAGACAAATAGGAAAGAAAACAAAAACAGCAATGAAGATAAAACCTCTTGTTTCCATTTCCTAGAGTTCATTTTGATAAATGCTATTTTGTATGATCAATGTGCCTAGGCATTGTGCCTTTATGTTCATCTCCTCAGAATATCCTCCATTGCTCTCACAGCGTGTGAAGGCCTAGAACAGTGCTCTTTAAAGGTACACAAGAAGATCACATTTTATAATAAAAACAAACATGCCTTCTAAAACAGCAGCTAAAGGTAACTGCATATAAAATGCAGTGAGATTGCTATTTATTTCTAAAAAGTTTATTTTAATGAGTTTTTTCCATATTAGAAAAAATTGGTATCATTTTACAATCAATAAAATGTAGACAGGAAGACATACCACTGGGAGCCACAGGCCCCTGCCCGGACTTCTCCTGGCTGATAGATGTTGCCACTCGACTCACAGGGACATTTTTCTTTCAATACACATTTTCCTTTCCCTCCAATATCATCCAATAGATAACCTAGAACATAGTATATTAGGTGATCAAAACAGTAGAAATACTAGTGAATTGTTTAGTCAGAAAGCAGTAGAGCCATCTCTGAGCTCTCTTTGTCTCAAGAACAAACAGGCTCTGGGAATGGTAGTGTCTTGTTTAGACAACTATTCCTCATAAAAATGAACAGGAATATAGGTAACAATTTCCTGAGCTCTACATACTACAGTCCTAGTGAGCCCAGCGTAGAATGAAAAACTCCTCTGCAGAAGATGGGAACTGACATTAACTTTGAACACTAAATTGTTGGAATATCTTTCTCTTTCTCTCTCTCTCTCTCTCTCTCTCTCTCTGTGTGTGTGTAAGCCAATACTGGGGCTTGAACTCAGGGCCTGGGTGCTGTCTCTTAGCTTTATTCCACTTGAGCCACATCTCTACTTCTGGTTTTTTTGATGGTTGGTTGGAGATAAGGTTTCACAGATTTTCCTGCCCAGAATGGCTTTGAACCATGATCCTCAGATATCAGCCTCCTGAGTTAGCAGGCTTATAGGAGCGAGCCACCACTGCCAGGCTTGTTGGAATAACTTGTTATGCATAAAACACCCCTATAATTAGATGTTTTGCATTTAGCTCTGTTAGTGTAGAAACTTCCAGAAAGAGGAGGGCGGGGCTTACCGTCTGGACAGGTGCATCCACTCACACACTCACTGTCCTGGAAAGGAGCCACATTCGAGCAGGTTGGAGGGTTTGAGGGGCCGCATTCTTTGTAGATGTGTTTCTCTGGGCATTTGGGCTTTTCTGCAGATATACAGAAACATACACATGTAAGCCATAGGACAATGGCATAAATACATAATACATAAATACATAATATTCCAGCAAGGGTTTTTTTCAAATGGGATTTGTGGAGTCAGATTCTCAAGACACAAGTCAAGCTTTCAAGATACTTTATACATTCCAATTATGCGCATATTTTTCCTGAATTTTCTATAATGCATTTAATTTGGCAGGATTGCATATTGTGCATAATTGTATACTGTGTGTAACTTCATCTCATCCGACATTGAAATTCATGTCTACTTGTTAAATGGGTTGAGATAAGCACACTTGGAAATCCTATTTACATTTACATTTCACTATTGTGTTAAAAAAATCCAGTAGTATTCAGCACACTTTTGGTACATTTCCCAGTTTTTAATTAAACATTTTCACCTCATGACTTTTCACTAATGATTGAACTCCAGAGCTTCGGACTTGCTCGGCTGGCTTTTTCTAGCTGGCACTCTACCACTTGAGCCATGTCTCCTGCCTGGCTTTTTGCTGGTCATTTTGGAAATGAAGTCTCAGTGACTTTAGTCTAGCTATAAGTAACAATCTTCCAGGTCTCAGTCACCTGAATAGCTAGGATTTCAGGCATGAGCCACTGGCTTTTGACCCTAAGTAAGATCTCAATGCACAACACTACAGTTGAGACAATGTTTTCTCTTAAGGACATGTCAGCGACAAGACTTATCTCCAAAATACTTTCTAGAATCATTCCAAAAGGTACTCTGAGGGCCTGAAGTGGTGACATATGCCTATAATCCCAATTACTCACAGACAGACAGAGGGGTCATGGTTGGAGGCCAGTCCAGGCAAAACAGTTAGCAAGACCTTCTCTGAAGATAAACGGAGGAAAAAGAGCGAACTGGGGGGGGCATGGCTCAGGTGATAAAGCATCTGCCTAGCAAGCATGAGGTTCTAAGTTCAAATCCACCATCCCTCTCCCCCCCTCACCAAAAAAAATCACTTTAAAGTCTTAGATGAACTTATTTATAATCTACACGAGAGGTCAAACCTACCACAAACAACATCAGAATCATCTCGCCAGTGCTCAAAGGTGCTGGGCCCTTCAGAGGCACAGAGGCGGGACAGTTCTTCATAAGTGTTACATGTAGCATTCACATCCCCATGACCATGACAGTACTCATCAACACAGACCCTCTTATACTGCTGGGCCAAAGGAGCGACCTTCCCACATTGCTCGAAGTAGGTGCCGATAATTTTGTTACAATGCTACAAAACAAAGCAGGGTATTTTGTGAAACCATAAGGAAAGTTGAGAATGGAATCACCAACTAAGTATAGTGGTGTCTTATGTATAACAAGTTACTATAGAAACAAACACATATAAAAGTTTTGTATCTTTTGCATAATATTCCAGAACTTTGGCAAGTATGTTGTTGAACACTTAGATTTAAAAGAAAATAAAAAGCATTTAGCCAGGTGCCAGTGGCTCATGCCTGTAATCTTGGCTACTCAGGAGATTGAGAGCTGAGAATCTCCATTCAAAGCCAGCACAGGCAGGAAAATGAAGCTCAGAAACAGAGCTCAGGACCTAAATTCAAGCCCCCATGGTGCACTCTCTCTTTCTCTCCCTCTCTCTTTCCCTCTCTCCCTCCCTCCCTCTCTCTCTCTCTGTCTCTCTCTGTCTCTCTCTCTCTTAAATATTTTAGCTAATAAAATGATGCCTGAAAGAATGCTTCACCTTTGACATTTCAGATCAAAACAATGATTCCAAAAGTGGTTGTAACTAAATTAATCCAAAATGTCTCTAACAGTAAAATGCATCTTAGAACTTGGGGAAATATCCAGGCTCAGGCCTGTCATCCTAGCTATTCTGGAGTCTGAGATCTAAGGATCACAGTTCAAAGCCAGCCCAGTCAGGAAAGTTTGTGAGACTCTTATCTCCAATTAGCCATCAGTAAATAATCAGATAGTATACAAGGTAGACAGATGATAAATACAAGACAGGTAATAGATACAAGATACCCAGATAGTTAATAGATACAAAGATAGATGGATAGAAAGATAGATAGATAGATGATAGATAGATAGACAGACAGACAGACAGACAGAAGTAGGTACAAGACAGAGAGCTAGAAGGAAACAGCAGATACAGGATGTAAAGAGAGGATGCAGGGTAGCACTTACAATGAACAGGTGTAGAGCTTTGATGTCTATGAGGAGGACCATCAATTCCTTACCTGCTCACCATCTTCACAAACTTCATAGCTTTTACTAACAGCATCAGGACAATCACCAGAAATTTTGCTATTGGCAATGTGCTCGTTGATATCTTGACCTTCAAATGAAAGAATTGTTTAATTTGATATATTCATTATACATGCACTGTATTTCTTTTGGAAAGCAAGTTTCTTTTTTTTTTTGAGGTCCAGTCTTGGGGCCTGAACTCTGGGCCTGGGCGCTGTCCCTCAGCTCTTCAGCTCAAGGCTAGCGCTCTACCACTTGAGCCACAGCGCCACATCCGGCTTTTTTCTTTTTTCTTATGTGGTGCTGAGGAATTGAACCCAGGGCCTCATGCATGCAAGGCAAGCGCTCTACCACTGAGCCACCTTCCCAGCCCCTGGAAAGCAAGTTTCTTTAGACCTAATCCAGAAAAATCTTACCTGGGGTGGTGTTGAAGTTACCACAAAGTCCACATGTGGTATATTGTTTGTGTAAGGTGAGCTGTAAAAAAATTACATTCAGACTTCAGTACAAGATCAAAACTATCTCAAGACAAGATTTATCCAAACCAAAAGAAAAGGTCATGGCATGTGTAACTCTATAACAACAACATATAAGTTAAGGATATGTTCCAGTGCCTTTTATCTTTTTAAGAAAATGCCTATGGAATTTGAAATCGATCCAGACGTCTTTCCTTAGCCTGCACTTTCTATTCTGTTATCTGCCTTCAAAGAGTAGTCTGTCTTTCAAGCTACTTTGAGTATTGTAATCCTAGCTACACAGAAGGCTAAGATCTGAGGCTTGCAGTATGAAGCTAGCCTAGGCAGGAAAGTAGGAGAAAATCTTATCTCTAATTATTCCCAGACAAAGCTGGAAAGAATGCTAGCCTTGAGTAAAAGAAGCTCAAGGACAGGGTCCAGGCCCAGAGTTCAAGTCCCAGGACCAGAACAAAAAAAAAAGATAACATTATATGTAATAGCTTCATAGAAATTTCTGAACAATGCTTAGCTTTTATTTCTTGTAATGCAATACTTTCTATAACTGAAATTAAGAACCAAAAGCATATTAGCTGGGCACTGATAGCTCATTGCCTGTACTATTAGCTACTCAGGAGGCTGAGATCTGTGGATTATAGTTCTAAGCCAGCAGATAAATGTGAAAGACTCTTAACTCCAATTAAGCAGCAAAAAGCCAGAAGTGGAGCTGTGGCTTAAGTGGTACAATGCCAAGCTTGAGTGAAATAGTTGAACAAGTCCCAGCATGACATTATAGGAAATGATATAGATACTCACTGAGAGGCTATTTTCAAGCCAGACTAAGGTGAGCATTCCTCTACGGCCCTTCAGAACATTATATTTTCCTTGTTTTTTAATATGAATCATTTTATTGCTGTGAGGTATTGATATGCTAAAAAATATAAAGTGCAAGTATGTAAACAATAACGAAAATAGTATTATTTATTATTAGAACATTAATACATTATAAATACTATATAACATATTTCTGAAAACCATTTTATTGCTATATTTACTATCTTATAATACTGGCTAGTAAATATGGTTTTTCTAATTTCAGAAAATTGCACACAAGGGCTTAATATGAAATGTGAAGGACTAGGAAGTGGCGTGCGTTGTGGCTCAAAGTAGTAGAGCGCTGGCCTTGAGCAAAAAAGCTCAGGGACAGCACCCAGACCCTGAGTTCAAGCCCCATGACCAACAAAAAAAGAAGAAAAAGAAATGAGAAGGACTTTACAGGAACAAGCAAAGATTTAGGGGGTTTTAGAGAAATGAACAGGTGGAAACCTTACTTTGTCAGAAAAAAACAAACAAACCATGATAATGTAATTGGAAATGTTCATAAGTCGAATAGCATGACTCATTTCCTTATTTTAGAAAATATTCAAAAACAGTAACACTTCCAAATCTGAATGGCTAAAATAATGGCCTAAGAAATTTGTTCTCTTCAATTTCTAATTGGTGCAGCTTCAAATCATATTGAGTGCTAAATCTGTCAATGAAAACTACAACATTCTTCTAACAGTTTTATGTAATATGACCCAAATCGGAGTTCACAGAATAGTCTAAAAACAAAGCTACTGTAATACTAACTACCAAGGAAACTGAGATCTAAGGATAATTGTTTGAAGCCATCTTGGGCAGACAAACACTGAAGAGACTCTTATCTCTAATTAGCCATCAAAAAGCTAGAAGTGGGGGTGTGGCTTAAGCAGTAAAGAACCAGACTCAGACAGAAAAGCTAAGAACAGCATGTATTTATATATAAAGACAGGGTTACCCTGTTTATTCCTAAGTTTGGACAGCAATAACTACAATCCAAACTATGACAAATGTATTTTGCTATATTTCTGTCCAATAATAGAAATATTTAAAGACCACCAAAACAGAAAGAGACTGTTTTCTTTGGCTACATTTATTGGGTGTGCTGGTATTGGGACTTGAACTCAAGATCCTTGTGCTCTTGCTTAGCAGTTTTGCTCAAGTCAGATGCTCTCTCCACCACTTAAACCACACCTCTACTGTAAGCTGTTTGCTGGTTAGTTGGAGATGTGTGCTTCATAGATTTGACTTCCTGGCCTGGTTTTGCACCACAATCATCAGATCTCAGTCTCCTGCATAGATGGGGTTACAGATATGAGCTACTGGAGTCCAGCCTATCTTTTCCTTTTTCCTCTTTTTCTTTATCTTTATTTTTTTGGGGGGGAGGAAGGGGACTCAAAGTATATACTGAATACGTTTATGCATTTAGTTCATTCTCTTACTTACCTTTTTTCATTAAGTAAAATAGTGTCACCCGAAATAGAGATGTCATTACCGTCAACCAGAATTTTAATTTTTTCAATCTCATTCTTGTTGTTTCTTTTGATCTCAATATGAAAATCTCCAGACTCAGCACAGTCACGACAGAAGGTGTACGTGCATGGAGAAGTAAAGGAAAAGATGTAGCCATTGAAAGCTTTGTACACTCCGGAACCCCAGGTAGAAGCTTCACCTACAAAACAGTCAGAGGAACAATTTATCATGGTAAAGAACAACCCAGACACTCAACCACTGCCTGTATCTATTTATACAGTTGCTGAATGCTGTCTTTTTCTCCGTACTACAAGTGTAATGCAAATTGTATTTGAACAAGTCCTTGCAATAGCTAGGATGGCTATGGTGGCAAAGACCAAGCAATAACTTCCTAATATGGAGAAAGATCTAGAAAAGGAAGTTGTGCTCCATTTCCTTGTTTAGTTTGCCGTGTGTGTGTGTGTGTGTGTGTGTGTGTGTGTGGTGTGTGTGTGTGTGCCAGTCCTGGGGCTTGAACCCAGGGCCGGGAAGCTGTCCCTGAACTTTTGCTTAAGGCTTGCATTCTACCACTTGAGCCATAGTTCCACTTCTGGCATTTTTTGGTAGTTAATGGGAGATAAAGAGTCTCACAGACTTTCATGTCTGGTTTGCCTTTGAACCTGGATCCTCAGATCTCAGATCACAGCTAGGATTCCAAGTGCGAGTCACGGGCACCTGGCTTGGCTTGGCCTTTTGTATAGTTATTCTAATGTTACATAAATGAAGTTCTCTTTATATTGAATAAATATAAAGAATTCTATTACTTCGGATTATAAATACAAATGTAAGTAACTATGTATGCAAATATATACACCTTGATCACACATTTGTTTATGTGTGTGTGTGTGTGTGTTTTGTGTCTGTGTGTTAGGGAAAATGGTAGATATGCAATGTTACTCATCTGTAGTGATCCAAGAGAGAGGCAATGGATATGGGTACAAGAATATGGATGAAGTCAGAGCCACCTTACATACCAATAACTTCATTTGTTTCTGAGTACGTTGGAGTTGCTTCTGGAATATGGGATCCTTTTTCTATTAAACACAATATACAGATAATTAATATTAAGACATGTATTCATTTAACTGTGCACAATATTAGGATGTCTATGGAATTTAGAAGTTGGTAATAAAGTTCATCCAATGAGTCTCTGAATCGTGATTATATCCTTTGACTTGGGATGAGATTTCCAAAGAGATGTACATATGGTTTACCTTTATCTTTGCAGTGCTTTTTTGTTTTCAGGGAACAATCCATGGTAGTATTTTTCAAGTATTTTTTAAGAGCTTACTCATTTCAGATCAGATACAATTACTAACATATTATTACATCTGCATTTTCCACTTTATTTTTTTGTATGTGTGCTGGTTCTGGAGCTTGAACTCAGGATCTGGGTATTGTTCATGAGATTTTTTTGGAGCAAAGCTAGCACTCTACCACTTGAACCACAGGTTTATTTCTGGCTTTTTTGGTAGTTTATTAGCGTTAAGAGTTTTATGGATTAAGGCTTGAAGCCTTAATCCTCAGGCCTCAGCCTCCTTAGTAACTAGAATTATAGACATGAGCCACTGGCAGCCAGTTTCTTTTCTATTTCTTAAACAAATCACATTGTAAGTCCACTTTTGATCAGAATCCATGATGCAAACAAGCCACAAGTCACATTTTTATTCAGTCATTTATCAAATATTCATCATTAAGCTATATATGTATGAATGCAAAAATTCAGCTTTCCTGGATCGTAGGGTAAATCCATATGTCTTGAAAATTTTAACTTCTCATGATCATATATTTCCAATTGCCTTTTTATGTAATTAAATAAATTTGAATAAAATTTCAAGACAAGGCCTAAAAGTAGTCAGTGTAGCGGTAACAAGAGTAAATGACTTTGTAGAACTTCAAAAATATTCTTCACAATGCTGTTTATCATCAGCCTTTAAATCATTTTTCTGATTTCACAAGTTATCTTCATTCAGATGGCTTGGAAATTGATTGCGCTTCTAATTTATTTATGAACATTTGAAAATTAATATCTAAAATGATAAAGAAGGTGTATCGTTCTATCCAAATTTCCTTATTCAATTACTCATTTCCCTTATTCATAAAATTACTTCGAATAATCAATTTGTCATCTTATACTTCACACTCAAGAAGATGAGTGTGGGTGTTCAGTAGTAGAAACAGTAATATCCAGTCATAGCATAATAATTTACAGCAGAGCATTTCAAAAATCTGTGTGTATAAACATGTATACCATTTTAACCACTCCAAGGAAAGAAAATCCCATTACCTGGAGTACTGTGTGCTGCAAAGGAGCCTGGAGGTTCAGTGATGTCAGACAAACGTGTGTCATCTATTTTAATACAAAATGATCAGGTTGCTTTTGGTATTTAATTTTACATGGTAAAATATTATTTGTAAAAATGTAATTGATGAACCATAGATTTTAATCCAGAAATTGGAATGCTGAATGAGTGTGGCAGCATGGGCCTATAATAAAACCCTATCTGATTTTTCAGATAAAAAACAGAAAAGGGGTAGAGGATCTGGCTCAAGTGGTAGAGTACCTGCCTAGCAGACACAAGGCCCTGAGTTCAAACCCCGCTACAAAAAGAAGCTATTGTTACCAGATTTAGCCTGTGTCAAACTACATATACATAATGTATATGTAATGTTTTATGTATTATATATATAGCATATATATTATATATTATTATACATATTATGTATTTTATATATAGTATATAAATTATATATACTATGTATTATATATATAACATTATATAGCATCTATAAACATATATAATATAACATATATGTAATAAATGAATAATTTATGTATTTTGTATAATTATGTATTATATATTATAAATTATATATGTATAACATATAATTTTATGTAATGCATTTATATATTATATATTTGTACATACACATATAATTTATACATACATGTATACATAATTGTATGTGTATATGAATGTACATAATGTATATGTGTATGCATCATTTTACATACATGTGTTATTTATACATACCTGTATAAATAATTTACAGATACATTTATAAATATAATATAGTATAGATATATCTAATGTAAATATATAATATATATGTTATATATGTTACAGGTATTTATATAATAACATCTATAAATACATAATGTTTATTTATATATATAAATATTAAATGCTTTGTCACTAAATTGATAAATTACTTTATTCTAGATTAATGGTCCTAAAAGTTTTTGTCCAGATAAAAAGAAAGGTTTAGTTAACATGGATGCAGACATTCTACCACAGTTGGGGAAACTTGGGGAATTGTTTTAAATTCAACTACCTAAGCATCACCTAGGTACCAGGATGTCAGTTGAACAAAGGATCCTTATTGGTAAAAACTAGAAGTATGAAGAATACCCACTTAGGTGAGTTAGCTCTGTTTCATGTCAAGAGATCCAAACCTTCATTGCAAAGCCACTGGGTTTACTGCCATTGGAAGCAATACCAGAAACAGCACTAGCACCACTTGCTGGTAAGCTACTTGCTTTTAGAAAGTCAAAGCAGCTAAATTCTGCCATGAAATTGGTAGCTACTCCACAGTAGAAAAAAAAAGAACCAATAAATCTTGAATACATTTCTCAGGAATAAAACCTAAGAATATTTAAACATCATAGCTAATCAAAGAAAATCTGAGACTCAAAATTTTAGTAGCTTTTAAAACACCTGCTCTGGTTGTAATTAAAAGGCAGGGACAATAAATAATTATTTCAGTTGTTTTACTTCTACTGTGTTGACTTTAAAACTAAATGTTCAAAGATTAAGAAAAAGCAATAACTAATATTTCTGTACCACCAAGCCTCTTTGAACAGATTTATTGATAATTGAGATTGAGTCAATGACACATTATTTCTGGCTCATTACATTTTATTTTATAAAGAGTATTAATCCTAAAATTCAATTCTAAAGATGAATCCTGAATATTGGCTGTCTCTTTGGATAGCTCCCAAACATTCTAACACATAACAGAATCAGTCAGTAACAAATACTATTTTAACAATTTGTACCACAAATTTCAAGACCATTCAGACTGTTTATGATTGCTTAAAAGGGATTAAACTTGTTTACTCTCCTCAAAATTCAAAGGAATCTTAAGGTATCAAGTCCAGATGCAAGATATAAAGATTGAGCTACATGTATCAGCTGCTACTCTCTCACAAAGACAGTCATATGAAATACACATTGATACATTCACAACCATAACACCATAACTGGTGTTACACCAGTTCCTCATTCTAATCATCTAAATACATTTCAAGATTTCAGGATTCTGACTTTTGTTATTATCTAAGAATTCATTAGTATCTTTTCCAAGGGATTTTGGATTGCTGACATTCTAGACAACAGGAATCAATCTGAATACGTAACCCAAGGAACAAGGTCTAGCAATGCCCTTTCTAGCATCACAGATACCTGCAAACCTAAGGCCACTGTCACCAAATTCTTTTGGTCCAGAATCACCAGATTCATCTGCAACCTCTCTTCCTCCACCAGTTGCAGAAGCAGAAGACTAAGTAATGCCTCCGAATTAAAAAAAAAATAACACATGACTACAAGAAGGAAGGAAGAAATTAGTTAGGATTTCTTGGGAACAGAGTCTAAGTTAAGATACCTGAGCCACTGAAACCATCTCCAAGACTTAAGTACTGAGCCCCTGCAGATCCATCACTTCTGCCTCAAATCCCAACACCTTCACCAACTCCAAGTCCTTCTTGGTCAGATAACCCCAGGTTGGCTCTTGAGTCTTCAGAGATACCCCCAAAATATTCAAGCCCATTGTTATTACTTGAGCTGCCTGCTGAACACAAAATTACAGTCACAAACATTACTTTCAAACTACACCATAAGTCAGAACTATTCTATGCTAGAAAATGTTCTGTATCTAAATCCTTGGAGATTCTAGTGTATCTACGGACTTCAGGGGGAAAAATTCAATCTCTATCAAAGTCTATATGCCTTTATGACCCTCACACCAAACCGATCTAAAACCAAAATTGCTCAAACAAAATCTACCCTTTCTGCATTTCCAAAACCACAAAACCAAGTCTTTTTCTCTATGGAAAAACAAATATCAAATGGAAAAAGTTATGAAAGTTTGCCATCTATATCAATTTCACTGCAAGAATCCAAGTTCATGGAAAGTCTAAATTACAAGTTTAGTCCTGAGATTCATGGATCCGAGCAAATTGGGTTACTATCATCCCATTATACCTCTTGCCAATGAATCTCTTCTCATTAGATTTGAAATTTCTAGTGTTCACCTCATTTCCTACACTGATACTGTTACCAGAATATTAACATTTCACCACCAGGTGATATTTAATAAATTTAAGGATGCAAAGAATTTTATGTACACAAGCTAGCTGTCAACCACCTTACTACTAAAACAAGATTCTCCAGTACCTTTCATGTCATTGTGGCTAAGGCCAGTGTCACCAACTGGATTTGAACCAGAAACTCCAACATCAGTTTCACCTCTGTGCTTTCTTTCTCCAAATCCAAAATCAGCTAACTTAGACTGGCTCACTGGCAAAGAAATAAAATATTAATAAAACAATGGTTTCCAGGTCAACATCAATTTTTGACTTCACTAGCACACAACATAAAGGTAGACTACCTGAGCCACTGCCATGAAATCCAAGGTTCCCATCACTCTGACTAGATCCAATGCTTACAGATCCTTTTATACCCAACTGATTAACACCATAGCCAAAGTTCCCTAATATATTACCCAACAAAGCATTACCAATGCTGGCACTGCAGAGGTAAAATAATGATCAGAACATCAATGCAATAAGCTTATGATTCAAACATTTTATTCACAGAAACTAAGTTACCACATGTATACCACTGGACTAATGTCTCGAATTATCTTTTGCTCCATTTACGCTAAGGCCAGCAAATGCATTTGAAATAAAACTCCGATCTTACATGTCCATCCAAAAAAAACCAATTATGTGTTGAATGCTTCCTCCTCAAAAAGGCGGTGTTCAGAGTTGATTGGCTCTTAATTGTCCCCAAAGGCTTGTGTAGCAAAAGCTGGAACTCCAGGGACAGCATTAGGAACCATGGAAAGAAGGGCCTAGTGACAGGAAGTAGGTGCTAGGTAAGCGCCATGTGTATTTTGTGTTCTCTCTGCCTCTCTTTCCACCTCCTTCCTTCTCTTTATCCCTCCCTCCTACCATCATTTCTTCTCTCCTTCTCTCTCCTTGCCTCTCATCCTCTGCTTCCCTCCCACTCTTCCTCTGATTCTCCTCTCCTAACTTCTCCCTCCCTTCTCCTTCCTGGCTTCCATGAGGTGAGTTGTTTCCTCTCACTCAGGCTCCTCCCACTATGATAGCCTGTTTCCTGTCTCATCCCAGACACAAAAGCACCAGACAACCACAGACTTGAAACCTCTCAAAGTGTGAGTAAAAAATGAACCTTTCATTTCATATTCTCAAGTCTTTTGTCAAGGCCCCAACAAGCTAATACAACTGCTAAAAACATATTCAGCTCTACCCTTTCTTTCTCCAAGTCCCAAATGAACTAAACAGAACTTCCTCTAGCAGAGAAATAAAAGAGGAACACAACCATGGTTCCAGGGTCCATATCTATTTGGATGACACTGGTACATGGCACAAAGGTAGACTACCTGAGCCACTGCCACCAGATCAGATGTTCTTATCCCTCTGATCAGATCCAATGCTTGCCAATCCCTGGCCGATCACACCCAACTGATTAACAGCAGAACTGAGGCTGCCTAATATATTACCCAACAGAGTATTTTCAATTCTGGTATTGCTGGTGCTGCCTGCAGAAAGTAAAATAGTTATCAGAATATGTTTTAATAAGGCTGTAATGCAAACATTCATTTTTATAAAACTAAGTAGCTGCATCTCAACGAGTGAACTAGATTCTCTAGTACCTTCTTTTCCATTCACACTAAGGCCATTGCCAGAAAAAAAAAGATGAAAAAGAAGCTCTGTGGTGATTAGATGAATGTCCATCAAAAAGTCACAAACATAATGCCTGTTCCTCAGCATGGCAGTGTTTATGAATGAGGGGAGGAACTTAACAGGCCCCAAAGGCCTACATAGTAAAGCCAGGTCCCCAGCTGATGGATTGGAGTAGTTAGGGTCTAGCTACAAGAAGGAGATCCCTCGGTGAACTCTTTTATATTTAGTGCCCAGTCTTTTGTGTTTTCTCCCCTTCTAAATCTTTCTCTCTTTCTCTGTCTCTCTGTCTTTCTCTCTCTCTTTCTGTCTCTGTCTTTCTCTGTCTCTCATGTTTCTCTGTCTTCGTGTTTCTGTCTCTGCCTCTTTCTCTAACTCATTCTCTGTCTCTCTGCCTTTCTCTCTGTATGGGTGTCTTTCTCTGTGTCTTTCTCCCTCTCCAGCCCTCTCTCTGGCCTTTCTCTCTCTCCATCTCTCTATCTTACTCTGTCTCCCTCTTCCCTTGTCTCCCTGTATCTCTCTCTGTCTCTCTTTCTGTCTCAGTCTGTCTGTCTCTCTTTTTCTCCTCTCTCTCCCTCTCTTTCCCCTTTCTTTCTCTCCTTTCTCCCCCCTTTTCTCTTGGCTCCTGTGAGTTTATGTCTCACTGACATAGGCCTCAACCACTATGATAGTCTGCCTCATCTCAGACTCAAAGCAATGGGGCAGCCAACCACAAATGGAAACCTCTGTAATATGATCCAAAATAAAACTTTCTCCTTTAATGAGATTTCCTTGTGTCTTTCAACATAGTCACATATCCTGCAATCTAAAACCAAAATTAGCTCTACCCTTTCTTTCTCCAGATCTCAAATTATCTAACCAGGTCTTTTCTATTAGCAAAGAAATAAACCGTTAAAACAATGCTTTTGGAGCCCATATCAGTTCTGGCTTTACTGGCACACAACACAAAGTTCAACTACCTGAGCCACTACGACTGGATCCAACGTTCTCATCGCTCTGACCAGATCCAGTGCTTTGCAGATCCCTTGGGACCCAACTGATTAACGACACAGCCAAAGTTCCCTACTATATTACCCCCAAATTATTCCCATTTCTTGTACCACTGGTACCACCTGCAGAAGGCAAAAATAATCCTCATCAGAACATAGTTCAGCAAGTTTATCCAAAGAAACTAAGCATCAGCACCTAAACGACTAGATTCTTTAGTACCTTTTTCTTCAGTTTTTAATTAGATCACTTCTTGTATTTGATTTATCCATCAACAGCTCATCTGTATATTCTCTCTTCTCTGTCTCTGTCTCTGTCTCTCTCTCTCTGTCTTTCTCTCTCTCTCTCCCCCTTCTCTCACTTCTTCTTCCTGGCTTCCATCATTTGATCTCTCTCCTCTGACACATTCTGCCTCACCTCAGACCCAAAGCAATGGCGCCTGCCAACCACAGATGGAAACCTCTCAAGGTGTGAGCCAAAACAAACCTTTCCTCCTTTCATGAGATTTCCTCAGGTATTTCAATACAGTCACAGATCATAACATCTCTAAAACCAAATTCAGCTCTACACTTTCTTTCTCCAGCTCTCAAAGAAATAAAACTTTAATGAAGCAATGCTTTCAGAGTCCACATTAGTTCAGCCTTCACTGGCACACAGCACAAAGGCAGGCCACCTGAGCCACCACGACTGGATCCGATGTTCTTAGCACTCTGACCATATCTACTGCTTGCAGATCCCTTGAGACCAAACTGATTAACGACATGGCCAAGTTTTTCTAAAACACTAACCAACCAATGATTCTTATTTCTTGCACTGTTGCTACCACCTGCAGGATATAAATTTAGTATCATCAGAATGTATTTCAGTAGGTTAGGATTCAAACTTGTTTTATTCACAGAAACTGTCAACCGCTTGATTAGATTCTCTTGTACTTTTTCCTCCACTTTTACTATGGCCATGAACAGCCAATGAATTGGAAATACCAAGTCCAAGATCAAGTTTAGCTCCAACCTTCCTTCCTCCATCACTTCCAGACGACCCCATAATGCTTCCTATAAAAAGTCCAAAGGTCATTTTTATATACTTTAGAAACTGGCAACTCATATAAAAATTAAAACGTTATTGCATCAACAAGTAATAAATATTTGAACTTCAGTTGGGTATCTCAGGCCCAGAAGCCAGACAGAATACCTGAACCACTGGTATCTAAGCCATGTCCTTGGAGTTGGGCCCTAATGGATGCCCTGCCACCCACACCTAGTCTCTGTTCAGGAGAAGTCCTCAAATTAGAGTTTCAATTTCCAGAGCTACCGTTAGCCAATGGATTCTTACTTCTCAGACTGGTTTCATCTGCAGAATATAAGAGGGTTGTCAGAGTGTGTGAGACACATTTTAGGATTCGGAAACTTGTAGCAACCATGGCATCCATACCTGCATCACTGAAAATAGAGACTCTGGGCTGGCTATCTTGTTTCCTTCGACTTTTCTGATTGTACTACTGCTGCCACCAAATGAAGTCAAGCTAGAAACTCCAAGCGCAACCCATCACCTTTCCTTGATCTCAGATCCAAACCAGAAGACCACTTCCAAATAATGAAACAAAAAGTTATACAAAATGAATCTTAGTTGAATCATTAATTGTTCATCTTTTCTTACTGGTTAACTTAATGGAAAAAATTTCAAAAAATATATCTTGATTGATAAGTTTGAGCCACAGGCATCAGAACCAAAGACTATATAATTCCATCTAGCTGATATCTCACCACCCCACCAACTCTGACGGTGATTTCTCATCTCTTTTGACCAGATGCCCTCACATCAAACCTCAAATTTCCACAGGCACTGATATTCAGTCTAGTTCTACTTCTTGTACTGTGTTATCTGTTGCAATAAAGACATTGTGTCATCGAGGACTATTGAAACACACCTTAAAATTCTTTACATTTAACACACAAGCTCTGAAATAGTAATATCTAAATCATCAGAATTTAGATTTCCAGTGTAGCTGATTTCATTTTCAGAAAAATATCACTTTTGTTCAAGATCACCAGCAGCAATTCCATATGAGGTGAGACCACCAGAACCAAGTGACACCAAAATATTTCCACCTAACAGAAAAGTTAAACATTCTTAGAAGCAATCATTAATGCATTAATTAGCTCTGCACTTTTTAAAAAACCAGCAAAATCTGGATGAGAATTCCTGAGTCACTGACTTGAGCCCCAGATCTTATGGACTCAGCACCACCTAACATCAGCACCAATCAACATCCACCACCACCGAAGACAAATCCCTTTGACTCCACAAATCCCTAGCGTCATAGCACTTGTGACCGTCATTTCTTTGATAGGCTTTAATTTCTGAATGCTATTTTCCATCCTTTTGCATATTTATTTTCTTCTGGAATTTTGGTTATTTTTTTCATGCAAACTAGTGCACTTTTTTTCTTTTCTTTTTGTTCTGTGTGTTTATATTTCTTTGGGAGTGAAAGGGGAACAGAAATGAGGGGAGCAAAGGGTGAACAAACGCAGCAGTGGTACTCACTGGACACTGTGTTGACAATGAACTATGCAACTTTTGGGTATGGTCTGAGAGGGAAAAACTGAGAGAAAACAAGGGAAGGGGTGACATTGTCCAAAAAGAAATATATTCTTTACCTGACTTAGATAACTAGAATCCCTCTGTACATCACCTTTATAATAACAATTAAAAATTCAAAGAAGAAAGAAAACCATAACAGGACCATATTCACTATAGTATAACTATATTCACTATAGTAATGCAATTATATTTAATATGGTCATGCAACAAAATTAGTTCATATGTGTAATAGGATCAACTTGAAGACATAAATGCCACACAAAAGCACGAACTAAAGTGTTCTGTTCCAGCTGACAAGCCTTGGGCATTGGAGAACACAAATGGCTTTCTTCCAGCCCAAAGCAAGTGACTGAGGGAAAAC